CGGCGTGACGAGCGATCGCTTTAACCACTAGGCTACCCTGCCGCACAGAATACTATTATGGTCCATCTCAGTCACCTTTCCAAGATAAAGGCCCCGTTTCCCAAAGCGGTTTTAGGGCTATGACCTCTTCGATCACTCAGGGAAAGGTGCGGTGGGGTAGCCTAGTGGTTAAAGCGTTCGCTCGTCACGCCGAAGACCTGGGTTCGATTCCCTACATGGGTACAATGTGTGAAGCCCATTTCCGGTGTCCCCCGCAGTAATGTTGCTGGAATATTGCTAATAGCGGCGTAAAACTACACTCACTCACTTAGTGAAAGCCGGTCCCCGGGCCACCTGCAGAAAGCGATGTCAGCGTTACGACGACTTTTCTTTAACCCCCATTCTTTAACTTAGACTGACGAAAGTCGTGTAGCTAATTTCGCTTTGTGAAGGTGGTCCCCGAACCACAGTCTTACGAACGACCTTTATGTTATTTCTTTATGACCAACACTCCCTTATAAGCTAAGGAACACAAACTAACATGGATTGCCTTATCTAAAAAATAGTCTGGAGCAAGACCCTGCATAAAAGCTAAAACAGAAATGACATGTCTAGTATGTAAATGTTATTTATTGCTCAGCTTTTGAATAATCTTTGAAAACAACAATAGCCGCCTTGGAAATAGAATACAAATTTAGGTTATGGCTCGAAGCTTTTTAGTTATTCATGGGAACTGGTATGAGAGTTATTTGGATTTCCCGAGGTGCTGCTATAAACAACATGCCTTCAAGCGCGAATACGGAAAATGCCCTTGAATGTACTTGACTTTTGGTTCTTGGCGTTGGTGAGCAGGCTTGTTTTATAATCCATTGTTTGGGCATCTCGAGGGGGTGGTCACGTGGTTTTGACGCCATTACATGTTGTGTAATGGTACTTGACATAGAACTTGTGGATTTACATACTTGCTTAATACCTTCCCTTACCGATTATTATCGATGTAATTTCCAAATGTTTGTTTGTCTGATTAAAACCACGCGTTGAAGTGTTTCCTGTAGTGTTTGCGCTGAATCCACAACCGATTGTTCGAATACATTGGAAAGAGGTAATGCTTACTTTATTTATCGGTAAATTTCTCCTGAGTTTTCGAATGCAGGGAAACCGTGGTTACAACTTACAAGGCGACATTTTACATTATTTCAGGTTTATCATCATCATCATCATCATCATCATCATCATCATCATAAAAGATTTATATAGCCAGTTCCAGTTCAAAAGTATTGCTCAGTACCGCTTTCCGAAAAACTCGAGAATGAAAAGTTACTGTTAGACTCTGTTTTCTTCAAAAGGTATGTCGTCAGTTACTGGAAAGAAAACGACATCAACAGATTGTCATGAATCTTGGGAACGTATTCTTGGAACGAAAACATGGCTGTATAAGTATAATTACTTCCTAACTGAAAATGGGTCCGGAGGCAGGGATGGACCGTTTCCCTTTACAGAAGTAATTTGCTGTGTACAGTTGCCCCACTTTGACGTGTATTCATAGGTTCGAATCCCATGATATACGCTGTTTATCTGTGATATTCATAGTTCGCCAGCACCATGCCTTGCTCGAACATGTCACCCAAGTAGTAAACGTCGCAGACCTGCATCACTCCGGGTTTCGCTCCCAAATCAAACAGACCCGCCATGGTATATACGAAGTAGCCGTCAAAGCGAAGGGATGACATTGGCCCCAGCCTTTCTCACGCGATGGCTCTACCATATGTTGCCCCTTGCGGCGTAACACAGCATTTATTCACTACTTTGAATCCACGGTGGTGATGATCAACGTCATGTCAGCGTTGTTGATGATGGTTGCCTTGATAACGCCGTCGACAGTTTTCAAGATGTAATTATTGATAGTCATGGTTGTGACATTATTTTATTAGTTGCAGTGGCAGTGACATTTCTATGATGATGATGATTATTATGATGATGACAGTGACGTTGACGATACACTCTCTACAGTACATAATGCGTTCATGATGAAGCTGTGTCCAGAGACAATCTATTGTCATGCCCTAATGAGTTAGTGAGTTTGGTTTTACGCCGCTTTTAGCAATATTCCAGCAATATCACGACGGGGGACACTAGGAATGGGCTTCACACATTACACCTATGTGGAGAATCGAACCCGGATCTTCGGCGTGACGAGCGAACACTGTAACCACCATGCCTCCACACCGTTCAATGAAACTGTAGAAACTTGTGGAAGGGCAACGAATATTGTTAATAGTCATTTGTCCTTCAGAACAGGTTCGAAAAAGATCGTAAAACGATACACACGTATCAAGTATACAATTAACAGACCCATAATGATTGACAGATGCATTACGAGTCACGTGACAACACAAAGGTCATGGATGCAGTAACAATATCATCACGTGCATTTCAATGTCACGTGACATTTGGTAACAGGTGGGCTTGTCCTGAGAGCATATGTCACCTAAAAATGATGTTACTTGTAGAGTCCGAGTAAATCGCCTGTCCAGTTCCAGATGAGACAAGGATGTTCCTTGTCTCCTGTACTCTTATCCATTTTTTCCATCAGTTACTGATTATGTGAAGACTGATTCCAAATTGGCATTGATATTGGTTGTACCGTTATGATTTGTTTGTGTGTTTGTCTGTAAATAATCGAGTCTGGACCAGACAATCCAGTGATCAGCAGCATGTGCAACGACATATACAGTTAAGATACGATGACATGTGTGAACCAAGTCAGCTAGCCTGGCCACCCGATCCCGACAAGCATGGGTTGCTGAAGACCAATTCTAACCCGAATCTCTGTTGGTGGAGCGTATGCTTATGATATTATATTATACGTTATATTATATTATGTATGTAGAATCTGAAGATGAATTAACACATTGGTGCAATTATTTAACAACTTGTGTGAAACTTATGATATTGTACATGGCGTTTGTTCAAGTTTCATGTGGCCTAAAAAAATATTTTTTTAAATTCTTGATTCCTTAGAACAAAGAACAGTTTGTGTTAGTTGATCGTTAAGAATTGCTATCTGTTACAGATGTCTGAGTTTATATTGTTGATCGAACATGATTATATTCGTCTAATGAAAGGCAAATGATGCGACCATCTCATCTTACCAAACATCCGGCCTACTTTTATTATTAACCTGAGGAGGCAGTGGGGTAGCCTAGTGGTGAAAGTGTTCGCTTGTCCCACAGAATCCCCTGGTCGATTCCCCATGTGGGTACAATGCGTGAAGCCCTTTTCTAGTGTCCCCGCCGTGATATTGTGCTAAAAGCGACCTAATACCAGTCACTCACTTCTAAATCTGAGATAATAGGACATATGAAATTTAACGCTTTTCAACTTATGTGACACTGCTGTAGTTCTGTGTTTGTTGTATAGACAAAACATATTTGTCCCCCGGTTCACGATAACTCAGGTTTTGGTACAAACCATGAATTTACAATGCAGGGAAACCGCCTTTACAAGACGACGTTTTACATTATTTCAGTTTTATAACCAAAAATCGGATAAATTGGAAAGAAAACGTAGAGATCCAAACATTACCATGAATCTAGGTAACGAAGGGTTCTTGGAAAGAAAACATGGTTGTATACATATCATTAATTTATTACTGAAAATGAATCAAGCAATCTTCACGACATCTCTATTAAATTTACAGATTGATTTTTCAAAATCAGTCCCATTGAATTATTTATAATGCTAGACAGCCAAACACCTTAAATTCATATTCAATTTCTATATGGATCCTTTCATCACAAAAGGCGCATTTTAGTCAAGGCTGCGCTTATTTAAGGACTCGTTTACATTATTACACATTTGGCGGCCTTGGATTTAGCTGGTGAACTTTAGCCTACACTCGTGTATTGACAGGTCACTGCATAGGAAACCTGATTCATCGTCACACTCCAACCTATCATGTACAAAGTACCGTTACAATGTCTCCGTGCATTGACTGCATCCTTTGTGGCTTCCTAAATAACCCGACGGACACAGTGTTGGGTTACTCAACGAGGGCGTCAGTTCAAAGTTCAGTTTGGTGGTTATATTAATGATTGATGTAGTCAGCTAATTAACAATAGAAACAGATGTGTATTGTCCTGACTAACCCGACTTGAGCTTGTGCCGAGATCCGCAGTGTCCTGTGTGAACTTGAGATGTGAGAGATGGTACTGGGTTGATCAATTGGTATTCTGGGGATCGGCTTTGACTGTCTAATACTTACTCTTTTGTGGATATTTCGTATGTGGCTGGTGCTACCAGTAAAGTAAGAGTGAAGTTGGTGTTATTTCAACAGTATCACGGCGGGGGCACCAGGATTTTATCTTTGTGGGGAATCGAACCTGGGTCTTCGTCATGACGAGCGAACGCTTTAACCACTAAGCTACCCAACTGTCCAAGGTAGGTCAGTACATGCTTACCTTTCCGCGGATACCTAGTCTGTCATACAGACCCTGAAACAAATATATCCAAGAAAGTCTAGAATATGTGACAAGTCTAGATTTCCACAAATGAGGAAAGTCTCAGGGCTACTTTTCATAATAATATATTTTTTTTATTATAAACTGTTTTATCTGTAAGATATGTTCATTTCAGAGACTAGTGGTTAGTCTAGTGGATACCCAGCTTCATCACTGAATTTCAATTCATATCATTTTCACCTCCATTTTGTCTTTTGCGCGCATCCACCGTTAAACATATTAACTGGTCTGTACATTCTCCTTAGAGTGAGCGTCAACTCTAGAAGCATGTAAAGCGCTAGACTGAAATAAGTTTCACTTGTGTTTGATGAGGACTGAAATGATTCTTCGATTGTGATGTAATTGATACTGGTCAAAATTGCGTTTTAGTTCGTAAGAACTGTCTCGGGAATTTTTTTCAGCCATGAAGCGTTTTGCTAACGCTTGTAACGTTTCAGGAGCTGAATTACAGGTTATACATTTCCCATACACATAATAATGATTTAATGTTCCTGTTTTCAGAACCCACGAACAGCAGGTATGAAGATAGAACCGGCCAGATCGCCACCTGTCTGAGCACACCTTCGTTGGTTGATATCCCACAGAGCTGATATCCTTTGTACGACGTTGATATCTGTAACTATCCTTGTATGGCAAGCGATACCAATCGGCCTCAGCAAGAGCCGTTGTGATCTGAACAGTCATTCATCATCTCAGCCTTTGTCTCAAACCCCAAGAAGTTCACAGCTATGTTCGAATAGATGACGGACAGACAAGCCAAGCTGATGACAATTCGTAGGGGGCATCTAATCCAAGATTATCCCACCGATTCCGAAGTCCACTGAAGTTGTACCCAGCAGGTATGAACAGACAGCCGTTGCCTCTCGCACCTGAGCTTGATACCTGCCGTAATAATCCGCCGATATTTTAATCCTGAATTGTTTTCATGGGTCACGCCAGGTGATCGCGCCATTTTGTTTTTCGAAACGACCAATGGCGTTACAGCGTGAAGTCACGTGACATGGTAATACCTATAAAGGATGGGGTTTTTAATAATTGATCAACCGCTGTAGCTTGTTGCATTCCAGTGTTTACCATTCCATTTGAACTTTGTAACCTTAAGCCGTAATTCGTGGTTGTAAAATTCCGTTATCATTGTTACGCTGGTGAGAATCTTGATAATTTAGCCGTACCCTTGACATTAATTTTCATGCACGTACGTGACGATTCGGAACTAGCAGCTTCTCGTTACCGATATTACATTGACACCTGTTACGGTTCCAGGGAGTTCGTGCCAGACCGCCAATCGTCCAGTCGAGGCACATGTCGTGATCCAGTGGTCATTTGTGGGAAGCACGTGAGGTAACCGGACTGACCAGTAGGGTTGATGGGTAAAGGTCGACATCAGGAAACTACGGAGGACGTTCAGGGGAACGGCAAGATGGAGACGGACGCTGCAGCGTCCCTCCCCGTCCCTCCAGACGGGGGCTGGGGATGGATGGTGGTGTTTTCATCGTTCTTGATTCACGTCATTGCAGATGGGATTGTGTATTCGTTCGGTGTGTTTTTTGTGGAATTCTTGGATTATTTTAAAGGAGGGAAAGGGGAGACGTCCTGGGTTGGATCGCTCGTCCCCGCTGTCACCTACACCGTGGGTAAGTACAAGTTTCATGTGCCATGTCTATAGCATTTCTGTTGAAATTGACAATGATTGATGTTCATACCTATCAGAGACCAAGCTTGTGGTTAAAGAATAGTCAAATACCATTGTGTCGAAATTTACGGGACCTAAGTAAATTATTCGAATTTTCCGGGGTTCGATACAACCGGAAAACGACGAATAAACTAGGAATAGAATGGAACATGCTTTTTTCCACATGTTATAATGTGACAACGGCTTTTACTGCAGATGTTTATACCGGGCATTCTAAATAATGGCGAAATTAACAACGATACCCGTGCCTATGTAAAACTAAGCTAAATTCTGCATATCATCTGTGTACGGGGCATTTTGGATATATTTCGAAATTGACAATTCCGGATACGGGTTCCTCTGTAAATTGTGCTGCACGTAACGCGCGTGTGAACGTAGACTGACGTCTCTCTGTTTTGGGATGCAGTGAGCTCACACACAAGGGTTTTCTTAAGTGAGTGAGTATGGTTTTACGCCGCTTTTAGCAATATTCCAGCAATATCACGGCGGGGAACACCAGAAATGGGCTTCACACATTTTGCAGATGTGGGGACGAGCGAACGCATTAACCATTAGGCCACTCAACCGCCAAACAGGAGATGGGAAAGATGCCTGAAGATGAGTGAGTGAGTGAGTTTAGTTTTACTCCGCTTTTAGCAATATATCAGTAGGCTACCCCACCGGAGTAAATGGAAAATCTGCCCAAATAACAAGACGACTAAGAGTTGTCTAAAGTTATCTAAGGTCTACTTCCACCCATGCTAATTCAGACCGTTTTTAGACTAAGCTATGCATCTGAGATTCCTTTCCCTAAAAAACTGCCTTGACCTTAGAAACTGGGTTGCTATCCTTTGTTTTGAATTGGCTTCACACATTGTGGGGAATTGAACCCGGGTCTTTGACGTGACGAGCGGGTGCTTTGACCACTAGGCTACCCCACCGCCCCTGGGTTTTCTTAATTCCTTGTTACCTTTACACCCCAGGGCGATATTAATATTTCTTGCACCATCGCACCGCCAATGCGATCTTAATGCGGATGGTGGCATCGTAACCCACTTTCATCAAAGCGTTCTGAGAAAGGGGCAGTTCTGGAGCCTATGTACGCCAGGGTTTTGTTTTATGAAGGACAAGAGTTTCTATTTTAAATTGGATTATCACTTCGTTAACATTTCAAAGCGCGGATATGGCATGTCCGCAACAACATACTTCCTTGTTAAGCCCGTGAAAACGGAGAGGTTTTAATCAGGTCTTGATGACCGATGTGTTTTGGTTAAGCAGCAACCTTAATAACGTTACCCTCCGCTAAAACGTATTTTCACATTGAAAACCTTAAAGGCACAATGTCACACATTTTCGACAATATTCTGGCCTATACTTTTATATATTGGGGCATATGCACTCACTTTAGCTTCCAATTGATGCAATAAAATACTTATTATCCCTTACGACTTGCCTGAAATCGATAATTGAAACTTCGAGGCGAACAGCTTCCAAACAGACAACACTTGCCATATATGGAATGCAAATGATTGCTCCGTACATCGAAAACTGACGCACGCGGTGTTGTCGGTGTTTGCCGAACTGGCCTCAATCACAAGTTCGGTTATGGGATATTCGTAAAGAGCGCCCAAAGGGACATAACTCTATGGGGTTCGCTTGAAATAATGTTCGACCGATAGAGGGCGCGAGAGTCGACGTCATGCAACGTTGCATTAATTCACTCGAACTTTTTAATTTAATATTGTAATCTAAATACATAATTGTTTGGGGAGTAAATTATAGCTTCCCCGAGGGCTGATAGTTAGAATTATTGAGAGAAATGCATTATGTGCCTTTAACCAGTGTAGGGCACGTGGTCATACCCTACAACGTAATTCAATGCTAATACTATTGGCCCTTCTTTGATTTAATCAGAATGGTTAACACTGTTTGGTGCTGTAATGTCGCTGCCGATGACGCTGCAATGGCCGCCTATGTTGGTGTTGGAACGTCTGCCAGGAAAGCAAAAGGTCGGCAGATTGATCCCTGGTATCGCCTTACCATAACACGTTAAAAGATCGTACATTTTGTTATCCTTCCTGGCGTGCGGCTCTAAGGGGATTAGGGCGGTGGGATAGCCTAGTGGTTAAAGCGTTCGCTCATCACGCCGAAGACCCGGGTTCGATTCCCCAAATGGATACTATGTGTGAAGCCAATTTATGGTGTCCCCCGCCGTGATATTGCTGGAATATTGCTAAAAGCAGCGTAAAACTCACTCACTCACTTACTCTAAATGGATAAAAATACGACTGGTCGGTTCGAAATTGACTGTGTCCGAGTGGGGTGTCCATGTTTAGCTGAGGCATTGTATCTCAGTAGGCAAGCCCTGTAAAACCGGTTCCGACAACTACAAACAGCTGCACACACACACGACACCGACGTGGTTGTACTGGTACACTAATCTTGAAGGAGAACGTTAGCCTCCATTTTACCTCGCCGTCATAGCTTAATGCCTCAAGGTCGTCTTACTAACTTGACAGGCCAAAGTATTTAATTATGTATCACCTCAGGTAATACCAGTTTGAGACCTCATTTCAAAACTGCCCTTTAATTATTACAGCTGCACATATTAATCTAGTGGGGAATATTTGTGCTCTTACTGACGTAAGAATTGGGACAAATTTTACCTGTGAGCGTCAACAGCCTCTATCTGTTGTAACCTTGACCTTCAAGACACGTGGTTTATCACAAAACTGAGTGTTCTCACACAAGAACTGGGGTGGTGGGGTAGCCTAGTGGTTAAAGCGTTCGCTCGTCACGCCAAAGACCTGGGTTCAATTCCCCACACGGGTACAATGTGTGAAGCCCATTTCTGGTGTTCCCCGCCGTGATATTGCTGGAATATTGCTAAAAGCGGCATAAAACCGAACTCACTCACTCACACAAGAACTTTTCATTAGGATATCCTACATGTGCGTTATTTTCAAATCTGAGGCACGGGTTTAAGTTCTAATTGAAAAATCTTAACTCTGTAATATATATAAAACTTTACCCATATGTGTTTTGCGTCAGATGTAAATAGAATGCGCAGGTTTGTGTCCACTCAATATATCCACGTGTTGTGTTGAGCCCCTGAAGATCCGTGAATTGGGGGCGGCGATGGGGTAGTCTAGTGTTTCAAGAGGTCGCTCGTCATGCCGAAGGGTATTATGGGTACAATGTGTGATGCCCGTTTCTGGTGCCCCCCGCCATGATATTGCGTGAATATTGCTAAAAGCCGCGTAAATCCCAACTCACTCACTCACTCACTCCGTGAATTGGGTTTCAGCAACCCATGCTTGTCGTAAGAGGCGACGGGTTCGGAGGGTCAGGTTCGCTGACATGGTTGACACTTATCATCGTATCCCAAATGCCTTGATCGATGCCAATCACTGGATTGTCTGGTCCACATTATTTACAGACCGCTGTCACATAGCTGGAATATTGCTAAATGCGGTGTTAAACAACAAGCAAAAACGGTGTGAAGAATTTGAAAATAATATTTTGTTGTTGCAGGTCCCATCGCCAGTGCTTTGACGAACCGATACGGATGCCGTGCCGTCACCATTGCCGGAGCCATCATTGCCGCCGTCGGCTTCATCCTGTCGTTGTTTGCTCCCAACATCTACTACCTCTACTTTTCCTTCGGCATTATGTCAGGTAAAAAGTGTAACAGTCTTCGCTCTAAAATTACAATGGGATCACAATGATTATCTTAAACATAACTGTGTCTGTCAATACCATGATAACGGAACGAGTTAAGTAGACATAAAGATAATTGTATAATAACAACAATTACGTGTATCACAATTGCCCCGTGATGTGCCTATTGAACTGGGAAATTGACTATAAAAGTACGACACTAGTTAACTCTGTTTTCTACGAGGCTGTGTTATTAGCTTTTTACGGGGCGGTGGGGTAGCCTAATGGTTAAAGCGTTGGCTCGTCACGCCGAAGACCCGGGTTCGAATCCCCACATGGGCACAATGTGTTAAGCCCATTTCTGGTGTCCCCCGCCGTGATGTTGCTGGAATATTGCTAAAAGCGGCGTAAAACCAAACTCAGTCAGTCAGTATTAGCATTATAATGGCAACATGTCTGATAGATAATGGGAGTATATGTTTAAAAAGAGTGAGTAAGTGAGTAAGTGAGTTTAGTTTTACGCCGCACTCAGCAATATTCCAGCTATATGGCGGCGATCTGTAAATAATCGAGTCTGGACCAGACAATCCAGTGACTGACATCATGGGCATCAATCTACGAAGTTGGGATACGATGATATGTGTCAACCAAGTCAGCGAGCCTGAAGATACTTCCAACACGGATCTTCACGGGTTAAAATTACAGAGGCACAATGACATGGACCTGGGCCCCGTTCCACAAAACGATCGGGGCGCTAAGATCCAATACTTTAACATAGACTTACGACTGTCGTAGCGCTAAGATAGCTTTGAGGAACGAGGCCTTGTTACTTTGTTTGTTTCTTTGTTCGCCTGTTTAACGCCACAGTCAGCAATATCTTAGCTACGTGAAGGGGCCTATAATTAATCTGGACCACATAACCCAGTGATTGATCTACATGCGTACGATACGACATGCGCAGTCCAAACACACACACACACACACACACACACACACACACACACACACACACACACACACACACACACACACACACACACACACGATCCCGTTAATCGCCTCTAAGGACAAGAATGGGCTGTCGAATTTTCACGGGATAAATGTGTTTTCGTGGGTTGTTATCCCAGTTCGTCCTAATAACAATTCCAGGCTAGCTATTCTCGAAACGTTCGTAGCCCTAAAACGAACTTCTTAAACACATTGGCTACGATCAAAGTTAAGAAATCGATGTTAGTTAAGCCGCTTTTAGCACTATTCCAGCAATATCACGGCATGAGGTACTAGATATAGGCTTCACCCACTGTACCCGTGTTAGGAATTGAACCCGGATTTCGGCGTGACATGCGAACGCTTGAACCACTAGGCTATCCCATTAGGCTTTCCCCGACTCGTTTCAAACAATGCATGTATAACTTCATAACCCTGAGCGACCTGGGGAAAACTAAAAATGAGTGATATCAACGATTAAAAATTGACTTAGGATATACTATTATGTTTTCAATTTCTCTGAATATTTTTTCTGTTCGGTTTTTCTAGGCGTCGGATTCGGGCTCATCTATCTCCCAGCTATTGTCTCCGTCGCCAACTACTTCGAGAAGAAGAGAGCTTTTGCAACCGGTTTGGCGGTTTGTGGATCCGGATTCGGAACGTTCATTCTCGCACCTTTTACAAAATGGATGATCGACGAATTCGGCTGGAAAGGAACGATTCTCATCCAAGCTGGGCTTATTTTAAATGTTATTGTTTGTGGAGCCTTATTTAGGCCTCTTGAAAATAAAAACAAGAATCAGACAGACGAACTGCTGGAAAAATTGGAAAAAGAGGCGAAAGACATTTTAGAAAATGAAGAGAAACAAAGCCGGAAGTATGACAGTAAAACGGAAGTTAATGGTAAAGATGAAAGCGAGGCTCTCATATCACCAAAGCCCAATCCTAATGTCGAGAGGTTGATCCTACCTGGAAGAGAAATTGAAATGAACCGCATTTTCAACAGCAACAGGGAACTTGCCAATCCCAAAGGAAGCACAATTGACACTCCGAGAATTGCCGACTTGGCTCGTAGTGACGGCGCGTTGCACAGAGTTCAAAACGGAAGAGCGAAGTCTGCCTCCCCGGTCGGTTCTCCCGACTACCTTGACCCTCACAGATACCACAGACAGACATCTGGGGGCGGAACTTCCGGTTTGCTGTACCGGAAGGACATATTTTACAGTGCAAGCTTGCAGAACATCCCAATGTATCGCTCTCATCATGACGTCTACATCGCCAGCATCACCTCCATCCCCGAGGCGGTGGACGACGACAACGGCAAATGTTGCGGAGTGTTCAAACCGTCACCAGAGTTTCGTGACGCTATGAAAGAAATGCTGTCCTTCTCCCTTCTAAAAAATCTCGTGTTTCTACTGTTCGCCATCTCAAATTTTTTTACGAGTATTGGATTCAACATGCCCTTCATCTACCTCCCAGATCGTGCTATAGAGTCAGGAGTTGAAACACACAACGCTGCTTTTCTGTTGTCTGTTATCGGTATCGCCAACACAGTCGGCAGGGTCATCTTCGGCTGGCTGTCAGATCGGAAGGGCGTCAACCGTCTTGCGCTTTACAACTCTGCGTTGACTATCTGCGGCGTCGCTACTGCGTTGAGTCCGTTCTGTGGAGGAAGCTACCCGTTGCTGATTGTATATGCTGCTTGCTTTGGGGTCTTCATTGGTGAGTACCTTGCCATTCAATTTGCTGGTCTGAAAGTGTATCTCATTAGGTAGGTGTGATCGCATTGAAGACACAGATTAACAGGTAGATACTGACAAGTCTATATCATACGGCAGACACTGACCTAAAGACGTAAAGTCAGTATCACATAGATGTAAAGTCAGTATCACATAGATGTAAAGTCAGTATCACATAGATGTAAAGTCAGTATCACATAGATGTAAAGTCGCATGGAAGCCTACATCACACGGACGAGATGAACATAAGGTGTATAGACACTGACCACAGGGTAGACATTGAAGTGAGTGAGTGAGTTTAGTTTTACGCCGCACTCAGCAATATTCCAGCTATATGGCGGCAGTCTGTAAATAATCGAGTCTAGACCAGACAGTCCAGTGATCAACCGCATGAGGATCGATCTAGGCAATTGGGATTCGATTACATGTGTCAACCAAGTCAGCGAGTCTGACCACCCGATCCCGTTAGTCGCCTCTTACACGACAAGCATGGGTAATGAATATCAATTCTAATCCGGATCTTCACGGTTAGAAGATCATACGAGCGAAACAGAGCAATCAGAGATGTTTACGTGTCTAAAGTTAGATCGACGAATCCTGATAGATGGCGGACTACGTGATGTTTAGAAGAGACGTTCGAGGGGAATTAATGACCTCATACAAAAACCAAAGACAATCTTGGCATGATTGATTATAACGACAAAGCCTCCATTCGAAAAAAAGGACACTATTTTATGTAACCTGTTGTATGCGTCAATCGATCGTGAGCTTTTAGAGCACAATAATAGCCTTAACAGTCACGGAACTGCTCCAAGGGTCCCCAGGCTCCCGTTCTAAAAGACCTGGTCTGACGGCACTCATTTAGACAGTCATTACCATCCATCAGCTGTAAAAGAGTCTCCGCGGTTACGGCCATCGGTTTTATTTTATCCATGTTGGGGATCGGTCATTGCTCATTGGGGCCCTAACCATGCACATGAATACAGTGGATGACGTTATGTGACACCTTACCTTGTTAAACTACGTCATATGTGGGTCAGGATTAACGGGAATTCGGTGTCTGATTTTTCGAATGATTCCTGGAAATAGTCTGAATGACGACTCAAAGGGGAATGGTTATCTATCATAAATAACTGGGAAGATGCACGTGGGTAACATGAAAAGGATTATATAAGTAGGTATGTGGGTTAAATGTTAGATAATACACGGGTTTTTTCACGTGTGAGTCCCCGGATAGACGTGTGAGTTAAATGTTACATGATATAAGGGCACTATACAAAAATGACCAGTCCCTAATTAGTTTAATTTCACGGAGATAATTAACTTTGGTACACGTACCTCTGTGCCCTTTGAACGATTTTGCTGGTCTCATCGTGTATTTCCTAACGGAGTCCCTGACCGGATTAGGAGTGAGTGAGTATGGTTTTACTCCGCCTTTGGCAATATTCCTGCAATATCACGGCGGGGGACACCAGAAATGGTTTTCACCCATTGCACCCATGTGGGGAATCGAACCCGGGTCTTCGGCGTGACAAGCCAACGCTTTAACCACTGGGCTACCCCACCGCCATAACCATATTTGGAACCCACAATAGTAACAACCCATGGCCATTAATGTAATTGAATTGTAATTCCACTGCAATGCGATTCCCTTCCTAAAGCACTTGTCTTACGCATGTCTACTTATGTTTTCAATCATGCAGTTTCTATGTGCATATCTGGTTGAAATCGTCGAGAGGGTACAGACTTTTGGCCGCCATGTCTGAACGCTCTGGGCAATGTTCTGTCTGATGTTCAGCTTAATGAGATTGTTGCACAATCTCAAATATAAGTAATCTTATTGAAGGCTAATTTCTTGGGAAATGAACCGTGTTGCATTTGTCTTCCCGTGTGCAGATCAGACTAAATATGTGTGCAGATCAGACAAAATATGTGTGCAGATCAGATAAAATATGTGTGCAGATCAGATAAAATAGGTGTGCAGATCAGATAAAATATGTGTGCAGATCAGGCAAAATATGTGTGCACATCAGACAAAATATGTGTGCACATCAGACAAAATATGTGTGCAGATCAGGCAAAATATGTGTGCACATCAGACAAAATATGTATGCAGATCAGACAAAATATGTGTGCAGATCAGATAAAATATGTGTGCAGATCAGAAAAATATGTGTGCAGATCAGGCAAAATATGTGTGCAGATCAGATAAAATATGTGTGCAGATCAGACAAAATATGTGTGCAGATCAGACAAAATATGTGTGCAGATCAGACAAAATATGTGTGCAGATCAGACAAAATATGTGTGCACATCAGACAAAATATGTGTGCACATCAGACAAAATATGTGTGCAGATCAGATAAAATATGTGTGCAGATCAGGCAAAATATGTGTGCAGATCACACAAAATATGTGTGCAGATCAGGCAAAATATGTGTGCAGATCAGATAAAATATGTATGCAGATCAGATGAAATGTGTGTGCAGATCACACAAAATATGTGTGCAGATCAGGCAAAATATGTGTGCAGATCAGATAAAATATGTGTGCACATCAAACAAAATATGTGTGCAGATCAGACAAAATATGTGTGCAGATCAGACAATATATGTGTGCAGATCAGATAAAATATGTGTGGAGATCAGACAAAACATATGTACAGATCAGATAAACTATATGTGCAGATCAGATAAAGTATAATTATGCAGATCTGGATCCTGGATCTTTTATGAAAACACTATCAGAGCGACAGGTCAAAATCGTGTTTACGGAGTACCACAGAGATGTGGCAGATACACTAATGTACATATGTACGCTTTGGTGAACATCACATCTGTGGGCATGTGGCTATCTTGCCTTGTGGTGAAAGTACCTAACCAAAATGCCTAGCCGCATTACCGCATCAAAATAGTGAGTGTGTAAGTTTAGTTTTACGCCGCTTTTAGCAATATTCCAGCAATATCACGGCGATGGACACTAGAAAGGGGCTTCACACATTGTACCCATGTGGGGAATCGAACCCGGGTCTTCGGCGTGACGAGCCAACGCTTCAACTTCTACACTACCCCCACCGCCCTTATCGTCAAAATATATACCAATTATCACTAAAATCTTAAAACACATTCCTTAGACCTATGGTAGCATGTTGGCTCTAAATGCATGACTCGTGACCTTGACCCTTACAACATGGTGACCTTGACGCACAAGCGAGATGTGATGCATGGATTTTGATAGATATAATTTACTTTATTAATTACATAATGGTGTTTCTTCCATCCACAGGCGTTTACGTGTCCTTGACCTCTGTCGTCCTTGTTGACCTTTTGGGATTGGACCACCTGACCAACTCCTTCGGCCTCCTGTTGTTGTTTCAAGGAGCCGCTACGTTCATCGGACCTCCCATGGCAGGTTAGTGAATGGGGTCATTTTGGAGGTCAGATAGATAAGAGGTTTGATGGATAGGTGGAGGAAATTGACTCGCTGTTTGCGTGGGAGAGATTAATTAGATCAATGGCGATATAATTATCACATTACCATATTCATTTGACTGAGAAATTCGACACAGGTTGACCGGTTGCCTAGGATTATCACTGGTATTGACACAATCAATTTTAGCTCCATACCATGACCCATGGATTTACAAAAGTGATACCACTTCCATGATCATTTCCCATTGAGAGCAGACATTCAATATGCACATTGACCAATGTGCCTGTAAGAGTTACGTCCCTTTACGTTGGCGGTAAAGCTGTATTCGTTATGGTGTTTTAATTGATTATGAAAATATGACATTGAATAATAATAACGGGATGCATGAAACATTGTTTACTTCACAGTGATAATATTTATTCAGGACTGTAATTACCGCAACATTCCCATATATTTGAGAAAAGAAGAAGAAATCTTCAAAGTCTAACTAACATTAAATATAGGTTGACTACTGCTTGTGCACTTTTTTCTTTTTTTATTTCTTTATTGTTTTTTGCGAGGTTATGATCTAGAGACATGTTGTTTTTTTCAGGTTGGATGTACGACTGGACCGGAAGTTACGACATATCATTTCACGTGAACGGCGCCATGATCGCCATCAGCGGGCTGATGCTGTTCTTCATCCCGTGTGTGCAGCGCTATCAGTACATGAGAGACGGCGTGAGCGCGAGGGACATCGAATACGGTCGCCACGTCAAGTCGGAGACCGAGATTGGGGAGATATTAGAAACACCAACAACGACATGAAGAAATATTTTGTGAGCACATCGTGTCTTCCATCATCGTGGCCTTCAGCTGATGTCCTGCCTATCTGCATTATGATGCTGTCAGTGAAAGGAATATTTCTCTGGACCATTATGCCTTCACAAATGATACGTTGTGTTGCCCTTGTGATATGTGCGCAATATGTGCATAGAGCACCTCATGCCTTCACCTTTTTGTCACGTGACCCTCATGTATTCAATTAGTACATCACGTCAATCGACGCCATATTTTTATTTGTTGCCCGTTAAATAGAGAACGGCTGCCACATATCGGACTAAATTTCACGACACAAATGTTTTGAAAATGAAGTGCTTTAGGTCGTATCGACTTGTCATATATTTTCTGCCGCCGTGTGAAGTACCAAGAAAGGATTGGACACCAGTGACGTGAATCAGTGGATACCTTAAAAAATATCCCTGGTTCAAATGAAGCGGAAACTGGACCACACTTTCTGCAATATTCAAGTCTAGGGCATAAAGGAATATGGATTATTGATTATGAGACCTTGTGGTGAACTTGCGTTAACCCTGAACTTTATCCTGTTGGGAAGAGTTATTGCCCCTAACGTCCTCCACAAGTTCATAACGAGATACACGTGCGGATCTATAAAAGCCGATGCGCGAGCTACGCAAATATATGTTTTGGATACTTTTATATACATATATGACCATATATACTTGTATGTTGTGTTAGTGTTGTGGATGTATGTTGTCGCAGAGTGATTGTTAGTCTGACAAGAGTGTTGGAGATGAGTTAGTATGTTAGTTGATCGAATCAGGTTAAGATTTGTTATGCTTTTGTTAATAATGAATACCTCTTTTTCACGTAGCATGTTCGTGGAAGCTCTCGCGGATATTCATTATGCGCATGCAAAATGCTGTAGTTGTTACGAAGTTGAAGATTGATCATGTCTCATCATTGTCATGAAACTTGACCAGGGTGCATTCTGTCTGCGTTTTAGACATTGTAATTGTTAATAGGGTTAACGTGTCATTCCGGGAGATATGGTTAATGCCAGTGTTGGACACCTGACCATGGTAAAGTTTACTGTGAAAAATCGAGATTTGGGGTTTCGTGTAAGGAGACTTATTTGTTATGTTTCACTAGAGACGTTGCTGATAGATATTGATCACTTTGGTTTGCTTGATCTGGGTCTGACAGGCTTTTTCTCATTATCAGGAAGAATATGAGATTCGAACCTACGATCAGCAGATCCTGGAACAAGCCAGGATGCGATACGAAGCATATAGAACTGTAAGGGCTGGACAATAAAGCCCACAATATTGTTATGTTTGTATGGGCAAACACGAAGCACAAATCACGCTAAATAAATGTATTTTGTCGAATTCGTAAAATTTCATAAAGTTGTATTTTATCACAAGTTCATGTCAATTTGTTGTATTTTTCGTCATGTTCTTGTTATTGATATCTACAGTAGATATTGATTCCTCTCTGTGAGAGCAGTCCTGCTGACCATGTTTCATCTGCAGGTATCAACAGCAATATGGATAGTTCCGAGGTATCGCAGATGTTCCGTTTTGACTTTGCAATCACCATCGCCATCGCCACGCTTCTGCTTTTGTCAGCCAAGAGAACTGAGTAACGATATAGAGGTGTCAGTTTACATTTTCCTCTTAAGCCAATCAAATATGTAGCGCTGTTTTTGTGCCCAATCAGAATCGGCGGTTCAGCCATTTAAAACCACCATTTCCCAGTGACATGTTACGGTTAACTTGTAACAAAGCATTTGATTGGCCCTCAGTCGGTGGTACAATGAAAAGTGGACGCATGGTTTTAAACGGAATAGCTGCGAGTGCTGGATATCTGAGTGAACAAAGTGTGGGCTGAAGGATATTCCATTGTACGATCCTGAAGAGACATTTCCCACTACGTCCATTATCTCATGCTATGTCGATGAATGTGTCATAATGTCCATTATCTCATGCCATGTGTTATAATGTTTATGCTTCATAACTATACAGCAACATAAATATTTACAAAAATACCAGTTAACTGTTTGATATGAATGGGCATATTGTGAAAGGATGTTGGATGTTTCTGGAATAAAAGGTTTTGGGATTGTCCAAGTTGACGTTTTTGTTATAGTTTTCCAGAATCCTTCGTTAATTTACTCATCGGATCATTCTAGCGTGTACTACAGATAAGACCTTAGTGACTTGTACTTTAGAATAGACCCTAGTGACTTGTACTTTAGATTAAACCCTAGTGGCTTGTACTACAGATTAGAACCTAGTGACTTGAATACAGATTAGAGTCTAGTGACTTGAACTACAGATTAGACCCTAGCGGCTTCTACTACAGATTAAAACCAAGTGAATTGAACTACAGATTAGACCCCACTTACTTAAACTACAGATTAGACCCTAGTGACGTGAACTAAAGATTAGACCCTAGTGACTTGAACTACAGATTAGACCCTAGTGACTTGAACTACAGATTAGACCCTAGTGACGTGAACTACAGGGAAGACCCTAGTGACTTGAACTACAGATTAGACCCTAGTGACTTGAACTACAGATTAGACCCTAGTGGCTTAACTACAGATTAAACCCTAGTGACTTGAACTACAGATTAGACCCTAGTGACTTGAACTACAGATTAGACCCTAGTGACTTGAACTACAGATTAGACCCTAGTGACTTGAACTACAGATTAGACCCTAGTGACTTGAACTACAGATTAGACCCTAGTGACTTGAACTACAGGGTAGACCCTAGTGACTTGAACTACAGATTAGACCCGGTGACTTGAACTACAGATTAGACCCGGTGACTTGAACTACAGATTAGACCCTAGTGACTTGAACTACAGATTAGACCCTAGTGACTTGAACTACAGATTAGACCCTAGTGACTTGAACTACAGATTAGACCCTAGTGACTTGAACTACAGATTAGACCCTAGTGACTTGAACTACAGATTAGACCCTAGTGACTTGAACTACAGATTAGACCATAGTTACTTGAACTACAGATTAGACCCTAGTGACTTGAACTACACTACACGTTAGACCCTAGTGACTTGAACTACAGATTAGACCCTAGTGACGTGAACTACACAAAAGATTAGACCCTAGTGACTTGAACTACACTACGGATTAGACCCTAGTGACTTGAACTACAGGGTAGACCCTAGTGACGTGAACTACAGGGAAGACCCTAGTGACTTGAACTACAGATTAGACCCTAGTGACTTGAACTACAGATTAGTTAGACCCTAGTGACTTGAACTACAGATTAGACCCTAGTGACTTGAACTACAGATTAGTTAGACCCTAGTGACTTGAACTACAGATTAGACCCTAGTGACTTGAACTACAGATTAGACCCTATTGACGTGAACTACAGATTAGACCCTAGTGACTTGAACTACAGATTAGACCCTAGTGACTTGAACTACAGATTAGTTAGACCCTAGTGACTTGAACTACAGATTAGACCCTAGTGACTTGAACTACAGGGTAGACCCTAGTGACTTGAACTACAGATTAGACCCTAGTGACTTGAACTACAGATTAGTTAGAACCTAGTGACTTGAACTACAGATTAGACCCTATTGACTTGAACTACAGATTAGACCCTATTGACGTGAACTACAGATTAGACCCTATTGACTTGAACTACAGATTAGACCCTATTGACGTGAACTACAGATTAGACCCTAGTGACGTGAACTACAGGAAGACCCTAGTGACTTGAACTACAGATTAGACCCTAGTGACTTGAACTACAGATTAGTTAGACCCTAGTGACTTGAACTACAGATTAGACCCTAGTGACTTGAACTACAGATTAGTTAGACCCTAGTGACTTGAACTACAGATTAGCCCCTAGTGACTTGAACTACAGGGTAGACCCTAGTGACTTGAACTACAGATTAGACCCTAGTGACTTGAACTACAGATTAGTTAGAACCTAGTGACTTGAACTACAGATTAGACCCTATTGACTTGAACTACAGATTAGACCCTATTGACTTGAACTACAGATTAGACCCTATTGACTTGAACTACAGATTAGACCCTATTGACGTGAACTACAGATTAGACCGTAGTGGCTTGAACTACAGATTAGACCCTAGTGACTTGAACTACAGATTAGACCCTAGTAGCTTATGCTACAGATCAGATTGTAAGACCACTTGTCATTCGTTCACTAAGCACCATCGGACATGGTGCCATGTTCCATGACGACAGTGAAGACGTTACTGACGTCTCACCCATGGTCAAATGCGAGAATACAGTGGCCAGCCTATTCCCCTGAGTGCCATCCTCTGCCAACAGCTCGCTGTTTTCCTTCAGCAGGAATGGCAGGCATTACCTCATGCAACTCTTATATAATGACTCCTCAAACCTTCCCTACATGTATTACTCGATTTGACAATTGGGTTTGCTGGAATATTGCTGATAGCGGCGTAAAACCTTATTCACTCACTAACGTCATCAGTGTCATCATTCTCACATGCACACTTCTCGCGGACTCGACGCTTGCCAATGCATACAGTTTTAATAACCGCTAGCCTAACAAAATGTAATAAATAAATTTACCATGTGTCTTAAATCAGTGGGGGGCGGTGGAGTAGCCTAGTGGTTAAAGCGTTCGCTCACCACACCGAAGACCCGGGTTCGATTCCCCACATGGGTACAATGTGTGAAGCCCATTTCTGGTGTCCATTGTTGTGATATTGCTGGCATATTGCTAAAAGCGGCGTAAAACCATACTCACTCACTCACTTAAATCAGTGGAGGGACTTGTTTAACCGGCCCCGTTTAACCATATGAAGCGTTCGTAAAATGCAATTGGGATGAATTGTTTGTTTCTTTTACGATACACTTAAGAACATTCCAGCTATATGATGGATGTATATAACTAATGAGCTCTGGAACAGGCGGTCCAGTGATTGATATTATAAGCATAGATTCAAACAATTCGGATAAGATGACACGTGTCAACCAAGTCAGCGAGCCTGACCACCCGATATTTTGAGTTGAAGCGAGGCGTACTGCAAGGGAGCTGCCTAAAACCCGGGCCAAGAAAAGTCCGAGCTTGCTAGCGGGTAATGCTAAATTCGTACCGTATTTCCTCCAATAAGCGTTGAGTATGTTTTGGGTTTCTTAATAAATGTATTCTCCCTTGATCCAAAAATAGATTGATTAAGGAAGGGTCCCTTTAGTCATAACTTCCTGTCCTCCACATGACACAGGTTGATGGCTATCATGTAATCGTCGAAGCTGCAATCAGGGGTCTTCATGTATATAAATATGTACGGGATCCGGTGCTAGATGAATGTTAACAGACCAAACTATGTCCTGGTAATGCCTCTGACTAGTATGCTACCCAGTAAGCGCAACAAGCGCCCGCTCTCAAATAAGCGCCGGGCCTCTAATAAGCGCCGGGTCTGGAAGTCCGTCGACAAAATTAAATGCTCGGGCGCTTATTAGAGGAAATACGGTACTTACTGCAATCGTGGTTGCGGGAAAGCTATTGTTACCCGGATTCCATGCGTGTTTCTTTTGAGGTGGATAAATGCTGTACACAAGAGGGACGAACCTCCATGATCTGAGGCCTATTTCTGGATGGAGATGTATTTTCGTCATATGCAATTAGTGGACCATACAATTTGATTTCTCAGCATAGCAAGATGGATTTTGAGTAACAATAAAAATCAAACCAAGCAATGTCTTCGTTAAAATGCTCAACTCTTTCTGTAGATGACAAGAAGACCCTTAAAAAAGATCAATGATCAACGATCGACAGTTCAACCATAAATCACAACACAAACCAAGTAAATGAAAAGCTCGAGAGAGCTGCACGAATCGCCGCTCGGCTTCTCTCGGAATGCCACGAGTGGTATGTTACGAATGGAATGATTATATATGATGCAGTTTTGTCCATGCAATTGGATTAAGTACATTGTAATAGCATTATTTGACACCTATCGACTTAAGATAAGATATGTCTTCATTGTCCAATTGCAAAATGAAATTTATATTGCACAGTATCATAAAGATTTCAGTTGTATTTATATACGAAATGGCCAAGCGTTGTTTCAGACTGGCATCGGTTCGTTCCTTTACCTAACAGCTAGGTTGACAACATGTTCCGTGGGGAACTAGTCAAATGGGCCGAAGGACAAAAGGGCCTAGAAGTGCCAAGTCAAAAGGGCCGGTGGAAAAAGTCAAAAGGGCCGAGGTTAAAGTCAAATTGGCCGTGGCAAAAAGTCAAAAGGGCCTTATTCCTAGTCATATGGGCCGAACCGAAAAACAGTTTAGAAAGTTTATACATTATTTATTGACACATATAGCACTGAACATAATACCCCCATAACATTAATAAAATGGTAATGGCATGGTAATAGCCAAGCATGTAGCCAAGTTTACATGTAATGGCAATACATATAGTTCATAATTTACTTAATTAACACAAGTTCACATAATCAACAAAAATAATATAATGGTAATTTACAAAAGTTCATTCGTTCATAATTTACACAAGTTCATTCGTTCATAATTTGCACAAGTTCATTCGTTCATAATATACACAAGTTCATTCGTTCATAATATACACAAATTCATTCGTTCATAATGTACACAAGTTCATAATTACACACTGTTCGGCCCTTTTTTTCGGCCTTTTTGACTTTTCATTTCGGCCCATTTGACTTTAAGCCTCGGCCCTTTGATTTTATTTTCGGCCCTTTTGACTACAACCGGTGCCGTGAAATATTACGATTTTGAGCTGCCGTTCAACTGTTAAAAAAGATAGGTGCACAACATTGTTTATATGTGCAATTTTCGTTTCGGGATTGAAGTTGCATTTTAGTGTTAACCTTATAAACATTGAGAGTTGTCTGCTCATGGTTTGCCGGAATACTCCAGACCACATTTTACGGTCATGTGAAAGGAATATTCAGTGGTTGCTCCGTGCGACTCTTCAAAAATGCTGATCAACTGAACCCAGGAGGATTATTTAAAGCAGAGGTAGTAATTGTGTAAAAAAAATCATTTTCACTTGCTGAGCAGCAGAGGGTCGTAAATCGATGGTGCTGTGAATTATGAATATGAGTTATGATGTGGTGTCATTGTGAATAACAGGTTGGGGAAACCTACCAATCGGCCTATGAAAGACCGAACGGGATATTATAGGCCGTTCTGCCTATTTTGCTATAGGCCAATCGGGCTCTATTTGACCATTATTATTATTATTTCACAAACTATCAATTTCCGCACGAAATGGTTTTATATGATCATAGAGATGAATAGTTAATGGACCTCCTTAGCTTGAAAAAAATAAGTTTTTGGACAAAATGGAAATTTATATAATGTTGAGGAAAAGATGTTTCATTTAAGAACACAATTTTGCACAGATTTTCATTTTGACAACTAAAACTAAATATCAATGTCATTAATTTTCAGTGAAAATTGTCAAAAATATTATAGTCTTATATTTAATTAGCAATTTCCAAACTCCTTTATTATGTGATGAAAATGCTCAAAAAGGGTTTGAATGAAAACCTTAGGACACAAAACTTGAATGATGTTAATATCCTCGTGCGGAAATGCACCACTTCAAATTTATTTGATAAATATCATAGTTATAGGCCAATCGGCCTATAGCAAAATAGGCGGAACGGCCTATTATATCCGATCGGTAGGTTTCTCCAACCCTTGTGACATGTGTCCTTGGTGGTGGTGAGCAGTGTTATAATCGCCTATACTTTTACTGAAATGAAACGGGAACTGTTTGTTTGAATTATTCCTGGTTAAAAGACGAAATCCCCTCACCAAAGTGTTTTTGAAACTGTGTGGATGAGGTAAAGAGCATTATTTTCGAAGAAATTGATATTTTGCCCAGTAAAGTGTAACATAAAACATATTCATGTTTGTTTGGTGTTGGCTAATGTCTCACTCAGCGATATATTGCAGGTATATTACTGCAGGCTGTACAGAATCACTCAGGGGCGCCGGGGTAGCCTAGTGGTTAAAGTGTTGGCTTGTCACACTGAAGACCCGGGTTTGATTCCCCACATGGGTACAACGTGTAAAGCCCAATTCTGGTGTCCCCCACCATGATACTATTGCTGGAATATTTCTGTAAAACCATTTTCTTTCACTCTCTCACAGAATCAAGCCTGGGCCATACAAACCAGTGATTGGTATCACAAGCAACAATTCATCAGGGTATGGTGGCATGCAATCTCATCAATTTAGCACACATATTTCGCTAAGTGAACTAAAACATCTGACACAATCAAACTTATGTAGCAGCAAGAACATAATCAATATTAAGAAGCACCTACAGTACTTACAATCTATATTTACAGATGGGTCCATGGATAGTGACCCAGTTGCTTCGTAAGTGCCACTGTCATTGCATCAGAATCATATCATCTAGATTACCAAATGACAGTTCAATTTTTACATCAGAATGAGGCTTTATTTGACAGCAGGTATGACAGCGACACAAGAATCTGTATCAAAACGTCGAACCACATGAAAAAAGAAGCTGTTCATCCATAAAGTTTACAAGTCCTTATCTGACTCTCCAATTTTAAAAATGCCACTCAAAGAAGTTATATTAGCAGCTCTTTATCATTATATATGCTCAAATTAAATGTAATAGTTTCTGATTCCGTTTCCTTCTTCAGGACAGAAAGAATATTTGTTGTAAACATCCATTTTTTCTTAAAATTCTTGCATTATGTAACTACCTGTGAAGGTCCGGGTTAGAATATTGATCTTCAGTAACCCATGCTTGTAATGAGAGGCGACTAACAGGATCGGGTGGTCAGGCTCGCTGACTTGGTTGACACATGTCATCGGTTCCCAATTGCGCAGATCGATGCTCGTGCTGTTGATCACTGGATTGTCTGGTCCAGATTCGATTATTTACAAACCGCGCCATATAGCTGGAATATTGCTGAGTGCGGCGTAAAACTAAACTCACTCACTCACTGAATTATGTAACTGTAGCAGGGCATGGAGTCATCCCACACATGGCTTGCTTGACGGGGTTAACCTCTTTGGTCATGTGGACATCGAATCAGGAGGTCCGTGGTTCGAATCCCAGACTTTTATGGCTGCTACACAACTCTATCTAGGTTTGGTAAATGTCAAAACACTAATGTTTGTGAGCTGTGTGTATTGTCATGACCAGTGAGCACTGCTAAGATTTAAGCTTGAAACTGAAAGCCAAAGTGTCCATCTCTATAAATTAATGGTCCCTATGCAATCTGATGCAGTGAGACCGGCAATGCAGGGGTCTGTGTGTTTATGTGATGGTGCCCATCTGATTGGCTACTGTGATAATGCAGAGCCAGCAAAGGAGGTAATATCATCGAATGCATCCAGGGTATAGTTCAAGGATACCCTGGAGATTATCAAGTAAATCCAACAGTAAATCCAACAATGGAACAAGATAAGTCTGCTTATTCTTTCTACATGTATGGGATTCCAGTCACAGGTTACCTTATGTTCAAGGACAAAGATTAATCATTCTTATTAGCATGTCCCTTGAGTCATTTATTACTGGCCTATTCCTCACAGACCCCAGAACCACCCTAACTCGAAACGCCGTTCTGTTTTTACCATGTAAACATGATAAAAGCCACACTCAGCAGTATTCCAGCTGCATGGCGGTGGTCTGTAAATAATCGAGTCTGGACCAGACAATCCAGTGATCAACATTATGAGTATCGATCTATGTAATTTGGATGTGATCACATGTGTCAACCAAGTCAGCGACCACCAAATCCTGTTAGCCAACTTTTACACCAAGGTTTTTCTGCTGAAGACCAATTCTAACCAGGATCTTCACACTTTATTGTTCTTCATATAGTTTATTGTGATTCAGATACTAATCATATCAGCACTATATGCATCAGACATGAAGACAAATGTTGTTACTTAATCAATACAATGAGTCTTTATACTGTCTTGGTATTTAGGACCGCCTCCGTGGTGTAGTGGTTAGAGCGTCCGCCCAGAGCGCGGAAGGTTGCAGGTTTGATCCCCGACCGCGTCATACCAAAAGACCTTAAAATATGGTACTTGTTGGTCCCTGCCTGACGCTTGGCATAAATGGGTACAACAGGGACTGGTCGGCTCGGAGTCAGTATAATGTGTCTGAGTGGGGTATTCATGCTTCACTGCGGCATGGTATCTCAGTGTGCTAGCACTATAAAACCAGCTTCAACCTGGGCTAGTACAAGCAGCCGCACATACACATACGCACGCATGCACGTAGTCATATGCGCGAAATATTCTCAAGCATGACGATAAACCCAATTTCACCTCGCCTCACCTCACCTTAGTATTTAGTATGGTGACAGAGCATTAGAAATCACACAATAGACATGATGGAGTTGTCTCCCTTTGACTTTGGATGAACCTGAATCATGTCTTTTGAATGAGATTGTGTTTGTTACCTAAAATGTTGGTGTTGATTAGCTTCAATATTCCTTCTGTGTAGAGCAGCACCAGAGTTTAACCTTGACATACAAAATGAGGGGTCAGTCACTGGTTTGTCTGGCCAGGTGTGATTCTGTACAGGCTGCCGGGTGTTCAGCAACCCATGCTTGTTTTAAGAGGTGGCCAAGGGGATCGGGTGGTCAGGTTCACTGACTTTTTGACACATGTCATCGTATCCCATTTGGTAGATGCCACAAATGTCAATCACTGGATTGTCTGGTCCAGATTTGATTATTTACCGACCACCATTATATGGCTGGAATATTACTGTGTGCAGCGTTAATCAAGAGGCTACAATAATCAGGAAAGTTTATAACGACCATAACACCATATCATATCAAGGTGTACGTTTACATGATCATGTGATTATATCTTATTTCAGATCAAGTGACGATGGATAAATCTCCCATAAAAACAGAAAGTGCTGACTCCCACCCAGTGTGTTGTCTCAGAATGACGCCTTTAACGCCTAGCAGTGTTGATGTAGACAACGAAGGGAGTCCATTGCTGTCTGATGTGTCAGACATCTTGGAAGATGATCTGTCTGGAATGTCAGAATTGTCAGACTTGGACGACTCCATTGAAGATTCTCTCAAAAGCAGCAGCTTTTCCCAACCCGAACGACTTCAATTACAAAAAAAATATGCAAAGCTGAAAATAATGTACTCTAAATTGAAAAACAAGATGGAGAAACCATCCAGTGAGTCAAAATCAGTCCGGTCCAGTTTTGTAGAAAGCACTAATGTTCCAAGTCGGAATCAAAATCTGGAAATGTATGATCCAGAAATGAAAATCAAGAAAGAAATTGACTCGGATGTTGAGCTAGTTGAAACAAATTCTGCACAGGAGGTGAAGAAAAATGTAAAAATCAAACTATTAACGAAATCAAAACCTCGAAAGAAGAAAAAGGTTGCGGCATTCCATGATGAAAGTGATGAAGATTTTGAATGGAATTTATGGAATACTGCTGTGTCAGAGGAAGAAAATGCAGAGAAAGATTCAGATTACTGAACACCAGGCAGGGAGGAGAAAATCAAAATCAAAAGTTGCTAAAAAGTCTTCCCCAAAAGGCATGAAAAGAGGGAGAGGTAAAAGAAAACGAAAATCAACAACCCCTAAAAAGGTTCCACACGATGAAGGCGTGTTGCAGGAAGAATTAGCTGGAGTTAAGTTATGCCTTGATTTTAAGGAGGAAAAAAGTGCCAATATGATGGAAAGTGTAATAAAAAATGGACACAAGAAGCAAACTGGAAAAGTTAATGAGCCTCAGATCTTTAAGTGCGAAGTTTGTGGTAAGATTGTTGCAACGAAATGCTCCCTTGTAAAACATGTACGCACACACACAGGAGAAAAACCATACCAATGCGACATTTGTGGCAAAAAATTTAACGCACCAAATTCTTTCAACAACCATAAACGAATACATGCGGGTATCAAACCCTACCAGTGTCGATTCTGTGAAAAATCATTCACGGAGTTGAGCCAGCGTGTGACACATGAGCGAACTCACACGGGCGAGAAACCATACATGTGTGATGTTTGTGGGAAAAGATTTTCTCTCCGTTCTTCCCTTGTTCGTCATCGACGTATTCACACTGGAGAGAAACCCTATGTTTGTGATGTTTGCAATAAGTCCTTTGTGCAGTACAACCAGCTAGCCAATCACAAGCGAATACACACTGGAGAGAAGCCATATTCTTGCCAACTATGTGGGAAGAGGTTTAACGTCTCTTGCACTCTGGCTCGACATCTTGAAGCTCATTATAATAAGATGTTCACAGTGAGATCATTAGCGAAACAAGAAACATCCACAGCGGATCCTAATACAGTGATGAAGATGATTGGCAAGATGAAAGATGCGAATGATAAGAAAAAATATGCTAAGAAGAAAAATTCTAAACTTTTGTCTGATGGCAAACTTGACATTCAGAGATCTGCAGCTGATGGTGGAAGTGAAGGATTAATGCTTCTCAGTTCAGTTGACTGTAAGGAAGGAAAGTCTGGTAGTAATAGCAGCAGACATGGACATGTTGATGATGGTGGTGATGATAGCCATGGATTATTGGGCAATAAATCTGACCATGTTGATGGGCGTTTAACCATTGGTTCCGTTCATACTGATGGGTCATTGGATTACAATGGGCATGGACCTTTTGATATGGGTTCCAGTAGTTGCAGATCTTTGGGTAGCAAACTTTTGGGTAGTTCTAGATCTGTGGACAGTAGGGCTGGTGGTTGTCACAGATCTGTGGACAGTAGGGCTGGTGGTTGTTACAGATCTGTGGACATCAGAGCAGGTAGTTGTTGTGGACCTGTTTCTAGCAAACTTTTGGATGATCACAGGTCTGTGGATATCAGGCATGATGGTAGTCACAGATCTGTGGACATGAGTTCCAACAGCAGCCAGGGTGATAGAAGCAGTGTCACATGTGGTCATGGACGTGGCGATGATCATGAAAGGTCAAGGTTGAATGACTCTGGTCCCCAGTTTCCGCCAAGGTTCCCTGTTTCTGGACACACACCGACCATTATGAACATTTCCTTCCAGCAGTACGCCCCGAACACCTTCACCGCTCCTGGCATTGGTTGAATTTCTCAGAAATAACAGGTTCCTGTTTTGTAAACATTTTGAGATGAAAAAAGAAACACATGATTAATATTGTAAGGGAATCTGAGTGAAATTGTCAGCATTTTACCAACCAAGCCTGACAATACTATAACCGGGCTCACGTGATTTGGTTTGGTTGTAGAACGCAGCACTCTGCAATATTCCAGCTTTATAGCAGTGGTCTGTGAATAATCAAGCCAGGACCAGAGAATCCCAGGATCAGCATCATGAACATCAATCTACACAGTTGGGATAGGATGACGTGTCGGCTGACATGAGTGAGTGAGTTTAGTTTTACGCCGCACTCAGCAATATTCCAGCTATATGGTGGCGGTTTGTAAACAATCGAGGCTGGACCAGACAATCCAGTTAACAAAATCATGTGCATCGATCTGCGCAATTGGGAACCGATGACATGTGACAACCAAGTCAGCGAATCTGACCCCCTATCCCGTTAGTCGCCTCTTATGACAAGCATGGGTTACTGAAGATCAATATTCTAACCCAGATATTCACGGGTTATGAACCAGTGATTGATGTTATGAGCAATATCAGACAGTCAATGTCTGCATCCCTAACCCAAGAAAAACAAAATACTTCCAGCCTCTTCCCACTGAGAATTGTGGTCCTCTGGCTCACTCTAAATTACCAGGATAGAACTTTAATAAGGCCATGAATTTCACTACCAGCTCTGTGTCTACATATTTTTCCCTATTATTTTCATCCTCTGTATGGAAAGGGTTAAGAGCTGGCATGTGAGATATTTGAATACGTTTGTCTGGTTTATGTTTATGAGGAATGAAATTCTGCCAACACTTTGTAAAATAGTTATGTGATGATGAGTGAGTGAGTGAGTATGGCTTTACACTGCTTTCAGCAACGTTCCAGCAATGTCATGGCAGGGGACCCCTAAATGCGCTTCACTCAAAGTAAGGTTTGATTCCCAAAGTGGGAAACCCATGACTATTTCTCTTTTCTACTGTTTGATATTCCTGCAATGTCATGAAATCAACATACTACCAAATAATGTCAAATGAATTTCACATAATTTGTAGTTCCTTTGATATTCACCAGAAAGGTTGAAGCTGTATGTTCCTGTAAGTCTGATTCTGATATCTGCTGCATTAACAATGATTAAGGTGGGGGTTGTTGTCTAGTTCTACTAATGCAGAGCATCATGCTATATAAGTTTTGGGGCGGTGGGGTAGCCTAGTGGTTAAAGCATTCGCTTATCACACCAAGACCCCACATGGGTACAATGTGTGAAGCCCATTTCTGGTGTCCCCTGCTGTGATATTGCTGGAATATTGCTAAAAGCAGCGTAAAACTAAACTCACTCACTCACTATATAAATTTTGGGGTGGAGAGGTAGCCTAGTGGTTAAAGCGTTCGCTCGTCACGCCAAAGACCCGGGTTCGATTCCCCACATGGGCACAATGTGTGAAACCCATTTCTGGTGTCCCTCCCCGTTATATTGCTGGAATAATGCTAAAAGCAGCGTAAAACTAAACTCACTCACTCACTCACTATATAAATTTTGGGGTGGAGTGGTAGCCTAGTGGTTAAAGGGTTTGCTTGTCATGCCGAAGACCTCTGTTCGATTCCCCACAAGGGTACAATTAGTGAAGTTATTTCTAGTGTCCCCTACAGTGATATTGCTGGAATATTGCTGTAAAACATACTCACTTTACAAATTTGATGCCTTTGTTGTGTGAGTAAAGTGTAATCATAATTATGTGTCGGTGAGCGAGAATGGTTTTATGCAATGGCAGCATGACGAGCACATGCTTTTGGTTACCCCACTGTGGCCAAGTGGATAGAGCATCTGCCTGGATAGTAAAAGGAACGGGTTTTGAATACCAAAAGACATTAAAAGCTGGTAATTGTTGATAGCCTCCCTGGCGTTCGGCATTGAGAATGGTAAAGAAACCAAAATGTGCTTGTCTGTATGGGACACTCCATGTTGAACAGCAGCATGTTATGTGAGTGAACTAGCACTATAACATGGCTTACATGCATCCTCACCCTAGTGTATGCCTGTTGCTCTAAGGTAGGGATGCCATGGTACATCGACGCATCGATACTTTTTCTAAGACGATACAATTATCAATACATTCAAAACTGTATCGATATTTAGTTTTCAAAGTATCGGTTTAAATATGTTTATGTATCATTTAAATTTTGCAATTGTATCATGTTTTTTGATGTTATGAAAGTTATGAATGATTATTTTTCATGTTCAAAGATGAGAAATTAGAACTTTTTAACCTCTAAGAATCAAAACTGTTGATCTTTTCATGGACAATTATAAAACATGAAATATTAATGTTCAAAATGTAACTTTATTTACGCAGTAATGCTGTGAAAACAGGTATCGTGATACGTATCGAATCATGACATGGGTATCGTGATACGTATCGATTCATGAAACTTATGTATCATGACATCTCTACTCTAAGGACAATAACCGTGAATGAAATGTTACACCCCATTTTACTTGACTCACCTTGTTGGTGAGGCAGTTGGTGAGTTTAATGTGAAATCTCAACCTGTTATGACATTAGACTTAACCCATGCCATGTCAGAGACCAAAGAGTTCATATTTTTCAGCTGTAATAGCAAAAAGGCTATAAACTTCTGTGTTCTTAATGTTCAACTGTAGTACCTCTTACATGTTGAAGTAGCATACATACTAACCGCATTCCATTCCAAATTCATGCCACTGGATCAAGCATAGCTCTACATTGTAAACATTGTAATTGCTCTCATTCATTCACTGACTCACCTTCAGTTCAATGGTGTTGCTCTTAATTTGTTGTCTATCCATTGTTGTCTATCCATTTTCAACATGTTTTTTAAAGTCATTTCAAGTTAAAATCTGGCAAATTTAGCCATTATGATTTTTGAACTTACCTCCACAGCACCGACATCAAAATGTCAGTTGTTTCCGTTAATCAGACATTACTGCCTGTCATGAACATTTGGTAAAAGTGTGTTATTGGCAATAACATAAAGTATATTTTTGTCATTTATTATATTTTCTACTCTTTCATTAGAACGTCTTTTGAAGCTGAATTAAGTCTATACTGATCCCACCATTTGAATCTGTAAAACTCTTCTCAGAGATTTCTGATCCTAAATTTGACATGGCGGCCATTTTCCATCATTTGACGGCCATATTGAAAATGACAATTTTCATTACTGAACTTCCCATTTCTGCATATGATATTAAAATATGTTCATGTTATTTTCTTGATCAAAGAGTACTGTTAATATACTCATGGAAACGAATAAGGGAACACCTGAAAGAACAAATGTTCCTTTATTCTTTTCCGGGTTTCTTCACAAGCTTTCATGCTATTTTCTTGTGCCAAGAGTTGTGATGATGTAATGTGCATGTTGTTGTTTATCTATGTACTTCATGACTTGTTAACCTGATGCAAATATTGAAGAGGAATTGTTTCAGATACAAGTGAACTAAACAGCCACGTGGACCAAGTTTCTGTCTCCTTTTCAACATTACGGATCATTCATAATTTATGGCTAGGGAGGTGATGATGATCTTTTTATTTTTTTTATTTTTTTGGGTGGGGGTAGGGGGACCATTTTTGTTCTGGGGAGGTATGGGGTCAGCAATTTTGTACACATGAACTAGGGGGCACAGCAATTTTGTACATATAAATATTATACCTAAAATTATGGAAAAAAGGGTGGTCATTGATTTTGTACATGACATGCACGGGGGGTCACTTACTTTGTACATAATTGTTTGGGGGGTGGGTGTTGTCATTCACATTGTACATGCTTCTCCATAAAAGTCATCATCACCCCCCTAACCATAAATTATGAACGGTCCATTAAAGACTTTCTGTGCTAATATCAGTGTGTGTGCACCATGTGTGTGTGTGTGTGTGTGTGTGTGTGTGTGTGTAATCTATGAATGTGTGTGTGTAATCTATGAATATGCTTACTATAACATATCTTATGTTTGGGATTACACTTTCTATGGTGTTAATCCCAAATCTAACATATGTTACATTTGACCACTTTCTAAATGGCATTGTGTATTCATATAGTTACTGTACCATGAGTACTGGCACTGTTTTGTCGGCTCACGATATACACCAAATGATATTCAGCTTCACAATTGTTTACCTTGGTGGCATGGAAAAGGAAATGTTTTATACAATAATCATGATCATGTCAGGCCATACCTATATGCCCATTGGCCAAATGAACTCATGTGAAGGACACTTTTGTCTTTTGGCCAGACCAAGTTTATTTGTTGTTTTACGGATCCGCTGGTCGTATTTTTTTCAAGAATAAACAAAAAAATAGAAATTAATTTTCCCCGCTCAAAACTTAAAATCCTCATGTTTTTATTGGCCAAAAATGTAAACTTACAACAACAAAAATTGTTTGATTTTTTTTGCCCCATATACACTTCATAAATTTCCAAAAATAAAAAACTTCCAGTCTATAAAAGGAATGTTACTTTGACTGGTGATTTTTATATTTTATTTTTTTCCCTCCTGCCTTTAGGTTTTCTGAGGACAAAAATCCGTAAAACAAGACATAAAATTGGTCTGGCCTTAATATTCTTCAGCTGAAAACATTACTGCCTGTCAGGAACATTTAATGAAAATGTCACATGAACAATGTTTATGCCATATTTATTTTATAATCAACATTTCCATAAGAACATAGTCAGCTGAATATGACTGAGTGACACCAGAAATGGGCTTCCCACATTGTACCCACGTGGGGAATGAAACCCAGGTCTTCGACGTGACAAGCCAAAGCTTTAACCACTAGACTACCCCACCGCCCCTCATGCTGTATACATTTGAAATAGCATCGGTAAAAATCATTGTCTTGGTGAAATAACTGACAAATTATTATGGACCAAACATGAATTTGATATAGGATATTTTTCCCAAATATAATAGCCAGTAATTTGGCAAAAACTTTACACAATAAAATCAAGCGATGTTAAAACAATAAAATTATATGTTTTAAGAGTATTATTGTTTCATTCTGGAGTATTGTTTCTTCTTCATGTTATAAAGATCTACAAATTGAGCATACATCAGTTCACAATAATGAACGAGGTATTAGTGGATTAAATGATGACAACATTTATAACACTGAACACAGGCATTATGTTGAAGTAACTTTTTGAAGAAAACTGTTTTGCTTTTTGACCTGAAAGTGATTTATAGATATGATTGAGCAGCCCTTTTCTGAAGTAAAACCAGGTTCTATGGATAGTCAACTTTTTTGGCGTTTCAATGTAGGCATTATCAAGGAAGTGCCTACACCGAAACATCAAAAGAAGTTGACTATCCATAGAACCTGGTTTTACTTCATCTTTGCAACTTCTAATATGCCTCTCAAAGAAACCCTTTTCCGGTTGTATATTTACATGCAATCTTGAGAACTGTTACAAGTCCAGTATTGTGCTATTGTTTTGTTTGACTCTGCTGCTATGGTGATTGTTTTGTATTTTGTGTTTAGTTTTTGCTAATTTGTGCTCAGCACATGTATAACTTATTTTTACTTATATACAAAGATGTTACATTAAATGTGACTGTTTTTGAGCTGTTTATTGTTTCATTTTTGCCTTGATGGATATTAAAAAAATGATGAGGAATCTGGTGTATGTCTGCTGTGATATTGGTCTGTATACCTTTCATCCTTGTGGAGCGGCAAGGGATGGAACGGTAGAATGGATCGAACTGGTGGGGAGCACAGATGTCCCAGATGTTGAGTTCAAACAATGTTAGGTCATTTTAGGTGTGACAGATGTTTGAGGCGGAACATTTCACTGTGCAGTGTTAGGTCCTTGAGGAGTGACAGATGTTTGAAGTGGAACATTTCACTGTGCAGTGTTAGGTCCTTGAGGAGTGACAGATGTTTGAGGTGGAACATTTCACTGTGCAGTGTTAGGTCCTTGAGGAGTGACAGATGTTTAAGGCGGAACAATTCACCGTACAGTGTTAGGTCCTTGAGGTGTAGAGGAACCTATATTCAAAGTTTGAATCCTGTCGTCATATTGTGTTGCTCAAATTGTGTTCTTGAATGCGCCATCTCCTACATGAAGGTGACACATCACGATAGCCCTGAAATACTCTTCAAATAGGCTTTAGGCGGACCCACTCTTGCATCTACATACATATTGGCTATTATAGGTATGATTGTAAAATACTAGCTACCATATGACTAGTGACTGCTATAGGTCCGATAGTGCAATACCAGCTACCATAGGAATACGGATGAGTATATGTCCGACAGTAGAATACTAGCTACTATATGAATACAGTAGTCTGGAAGAGGTCCGACAGTAAAATACTAGCTACTATATGAATACAGTAGTCTGGAAGAGGTCCGACAGTAAAATACTAGCTACTATATGAATACAGTAGTCTGGAAGAGGTCCGACAGTAAAATACTAGCTACTATATGAATACAGTAGTCTGGAAGAGGTCCGACAGTAAAATACTAGCTACTATATGAATAGTAACTAGTATTGCACAAATACAGGACCTTCAGCAATAACACACTGGCAACTTCATATTGGTCAGAGAGTACTACTCTACTTCAGTAATACTGCCTGGTTAATGTGTGAAGCCCATTTCTGGTGTCCCCAGCCGTGATATTCGTAAAACCATACTCACTCACTGACTCACTAAACAGCAAACGATGTACATGTGTGGTGGCTCATCGCAAGCATGTACCGCAAATCGGATAGTAATTTAAAGACACTAGGAACTACTAAGTAACTGAATAGTAACTGGGATAATGAAACACACAAATTTAGGGATAACAACTTCTTGTTGATCGTGACGATTCGATGTAGATTCCTACACCGTTATAAAGCTAAACATTGTACATTACACCAAACCATGATGGTATCAGCATAACTTACTTCATTATGTAAGCATATTTTTCCGGCTACCTGATTGGTCTAGAGGCGGTCATGTGACCTACGACAGGAAGGTATGTTGACTCCAACCCAGGTCCGACCAAAAGTTATATTGACTTGATATTCGTAACTACTCGTGTCATTCCGGCAAGCCGGATGGCGTCTCGTACCCCATTTGTAACTACTCGCCTCTTTCCGTGACCTACAAAAAGACTCGTACCCCTATCGTACGCCATTATTGTCAAGAATCGTGGCAAACCAATCAAATCGCGCGTAGTAAAACGCATTTCGGAGCATGAAAATGGTTGCACCGTTGAAGTTTGAAACTTCGCTAAACTTTGCAAAGCACAATTTAAACATAAACTTTGAGCTAAAGGATCTGAAACTTTAAACACTGAAACATATGTACAAAGGAAATGACTGTATTGCTGTTTTGCCCACGAGATATTGGATATTCTAGGAGCCATGTTTGGAAATTCAGAGTTAAATTGGATACGATTACATGTGTCAACCAAGTCAGCGAGCCTGACCACCCGTTAGTCGCCTCTTACGACAAGCATGGGTTACTTAAGGCCAATTCTAATCTGGATCTTCAGGAGTGTAGAAAATGTGTTGGGTGCTGCACAGCTAATGAGGAACATCAACGTTTCTCGTGTTTTCAAAGGTTTTCAGTCTATTGACAACAACACCCCACCAAAGTATGAAGTGGCATAAATATGTTGGGAGAAATATATTTCTACCCATACCTCTTGTCCCTTGTTCAGATGGGTGACACCAACAGCAGAAACATCCACGTCATCAATATTGTGGTCTGTAAACGTCACCTTCCCTTCTGCCAGCATTAACCTTGATGCCATTATACTGGCGTACATGTTGGTGTTTCTACCCCCAAGCTCCAGCTGCGTCCAGAACATGTAGGTTCCAGAGACTGGTGCTGTGAACCTCCCTGTAGTGCTGTTGTAGCCGGACCCAGCGTTGTAAATGGTGTTATTAAATGTCACTGTCTCCGTAACGCCAGTAGGTGATGGCACTGGAACGTCCGCCTGGAAAGCCACAGTTCTTGTCTTTGATGCTGAAGGGGGAAAATATCAGAAAGATGAGTGAATGAATGAGTTTTGGGTTTATGCCGCTTTTAGCAATATTCAAGCAATATCACGGCGGGGGAGATCAGAACTTGGCTTCACATTGTACCCATGTGGGGAATCGAACCCAGGTCTTCAGCTTGACCAGCGGACCATTAGGGTTCGCCCCCGCCCCCAGGAAGGATGGCCAAATATCTGAATACATGTTTGTTGTTTTATTCATTACCTTGCATTTGGTCTCATTTTATTTCAGCAAATAGAAGACTCTGTTTTCACTGTTGAAGGGACATTTTGAATTATCTGAAATGTGAAGGACAGGGTTCCTCATAGGATTCCACTCAAGGGCTTCTCACGATTGATATTTTTGGAGAGGGAAACTAAATAATAAAAGCCAAAGTTTAAGCATAACTACGATCCATGATTTAAAGAGCTTTCTATTTCAATCACAAACATATCTTTCTGTCTTACCTGGTATAAAGTCTGGAAACATTATTGTCAGATTTAGAGCTGGTTATGTAAATTATAAACCACGAAGATATATGTTACACAAGAGAAAATCTTTTTTAGAATTCGCCCCATTTGCAATAATTTCCTGGTACAATGTTCGTATTAGGATGATCTGACAAAATAACAATCGCCTGTGTTTTGTATTTTAGTCTATGATGTATTTTGACTTTGAATATGTTTTAAAAGACTATCACATCTCTTATGTGTGAGAGAAATACGCCACCTCTCTACTAATCCCATCTGTCAAGAAAGTCTTTTGTCATTAATAACACAGAAACAGTCAAGGTGAGTGAGTTTAGTTTAACGCCGCACTCAACAATATTCCAGCTAAATGGCGGCGGTATGTAAATAATCGAGTCTGGACCAGATAATCCAGTGATCAACAGCATGGCCATCGATCTAGGCAATTGGGATACGATGACATGTGTCAACCAAGCCAGCGAGCCTGACCACCCGATCCCGTTAGTCGCCCCTTATAACAAGCATGGGTTGCTGAAGATCATTTCTAACCCGGACCTTCACGAGTGAACCAAACATGGCAAACATGATTCATTTGGTAGTACTTGGAGCCATGGTCGTATGACGTTAACAAGTGCAGTCATTTTCAAGAATCAAGATAGACAAACAACCAGTATGATAAGTTCTACTTTACCAAGCATCGCCAGCAACTGCTTGTTGTCCAGGGACTGGTTCTGTACAACGTGCAGGTCACCTCTCAAGGTTGTAACTTCAGTGCTGATGATGCTAACGTTCCTTTGTGTTCCCTGCAGACCTGCAGTAGTCGAGTTCATGTCCATCTTTAGTATTTCCAGTTGCTTTGATGTATTCTGTGCCAGCGCCTTAGTTGACTGGAGTTCCGCTGTCAGTTGGCTAAGGTTCCTCTGTGTTATTTGCAGACCTGCAGAAGTTGGTATTTTAGAATTTCCGTTGCCCTGTTTTATGTCATTCAGTTCTGCTTTCACCACGGCGAGTTCATTTGACAACAGGTTCACTTCTGTCTTCAAGGATACCACTTCGGCTGCCTGGGCTTTGTTGGCCTGTACATCTTTCTGAAGGTTTGCAACGGTCTGCTCAAGAAGAGTTACGTGACTTAAGAGGCTTGTGAGATCAGTACTGCCGTCCGGCTTTGTCATAGGCAGGATGAGACCAGAAATAGAATCACTAAGCAAAATGCAAAGCAATAGAATTGCCACAAACATTTTGCATATGTGTTGAAACACGTTTCGTCTGTGAGATGATTTCAGTGCTATTATCTGTACACGGGCAACGCTAATACTAGCCTGGTACGTGGCTGATCAAATTTAAGTGTGACTATCAGAAAAGACACTCCTAGACTACACGTCTTCTAGTAAAGTCTCACATCTGCTGTCTCGGACAGTATCTAGAAGGTTAAATGTGCAAATGCACATCCTGGATACACTAGCTTATCTCTCTACATATTGCTTAGATAAACATATCACGAGGACTTTCTGCAGCCGTCCACACTTTTGGTGACAACACGAAACGTGCGGGAAGCTTCGTACAATCCGGTGAGCAACACAATGAACATCGTTCTACGCAATTTGGATACTATGGCATGAGTCAACCAAGTCAGCGATCACCACCCGATCCCATTAGTTGCCTTTTATGACAAGCATGGGTTACTGAAGACCAATTCTAACCCGGATCTTCACGGATATAAACTCGATGTAGGCTTCGTTCAGAGAGCCTTCCCTAGAAACGCTGTGTTTGCCATGGCTCCTTGTTTGAATACACTCATGTCTGCACAGCCCAGCAATAAGGAACCATCAACAGAATCGTCCTTCAATAGACTGCCACGAGGTGACAAGGAAATGCCTTTCTATTGAGCGTTAAATGAAATCATTCAGAAACGATAAATATACACTACTTTTGCGGATTGGAAGACATGTACAAGTCAAAATGCTGAATGAAAAATGATACATTGTTATAGAAGAAGCGACCTAACCTGAGATGGCCCGCGTAGTAATCGGTAAAATATAAACCTCTGAGTACGCATCACCTTGGTTTTGTGTAAAATGTTACGCACCAGGACCTAGATTTTCGAAGCTCTCTTAGCGCTAAGATAGTCGTAAGTGATGTGCATTAACATAAACTTACGACTATTTTAGCGCTACGAGAGCTGCGAAAATCTAGGCCCAGGGCCCTTATTCTCGAAACGTTCTTAGCCCAAAGAATTCTTAACTTTCATCGTAGCCTGTGTGTTAAGAATGGGCTTAAGAAGTTCGTACGGCTACGAACGTTTCGAGCATAGCTAGTCAGCTCCTTTAAGAAAATTGGGTCTTCAACTCTAGAAGCAGACAGGGACATACCATTTCGAAAGGTCTTCCTACGAATTGGCACATGTGGCGTTTTAGTGATAGTGGTAGATAAATGTTTTCCTTTCTGGACAGCCACAAGCACATAAACAGGATCTGTTGTAGTTGTAAAGGCGAAATATACTTTCAACGTTGAACTATCAGAGTGGAATGTAAAAACCAAATGAGAAACACACAGGTGTTGATCTAGTTGCTGACAACGTCGCATGTATATGTATGTTCTTGCCCTTGGGAAGCCTATCTTAAGCTGTGATGCAAAGTGTCGACATATTTTTATTAAGCAGGTTGGCTTTAGATCAGTTGGATGGCAGCACAGCCTGTGATCTTGATCGCCAAGTTGACTTCAAACCTACCGGTGGCGGTGTGGAAGCCTAGTGGTTAAATCGTTGCCTCGTCACGCCGAAGACCGGGTTCGATCTTTTGTGTGTAAGGAACCTAAGTTCCTGGTTTAAATCCTGACTCATCCTGATCAGGTTTCTGTGACTGCCTAGGTCCCAATCCACAAAGCGTACGGCGACCTGTCGTAACTACTTAGTTTACCATAAGCTTACGAATTTCGTAGCGCTATGAATGCTTTTTGGATCGCGACCCTGTTCCCTAATAGAGTTAACGTATAACACAGGTTTCCTCCCACATCAGCATTACTCGCCAGAAAACAAATCAATTCCCAAGCCAGGTTAAACTAGGCTCACCCACTCGTATTCAATGGTGCGAAAATGACTAAATGACGAGGCTACTTCATTCACTGTTACTGATAACAAGAACTCATGACATAAACTGGTCTACTCTTGTGTGACATCCATAACTATTAATAGTAACTGCTCATACAGTATGATATGTTTTATTTCCTTCAAACGCAACTTGGCATATGTCCTCGAAATTCTCAAAACACTGCACGATGGTGTTTAAGCTCATTCAGCCCCAGTGGCGCAACTCATGACTGACCAGATTAGGATATTATGTGAATCAAAGAGAATCATCATTTGTATTTGAATAAAGTTTTGTTTACTGTGTACAGCAGGTTCTAATTAAAAAATTACTCAGATATAACGTATATTTTAAATATCTGAAGGGATGATGGTTTGGCTGTCCTTCTTTTCCAGTTGACTTGGCTCTATAAAAGGTTAATGGTGAAAGTATGTCTGTATAATCGAGAGGGTCAATAGAATGCTGCAGCTGGTATTGAACAGCATCGTGTCTTCTTTGAGTGGCAAATAGAAGCTGGTATGATGAACAGGAACCAAGGAACGACGTTTTATGGCTAGACAACATCTTTATTACAATGGTTGGGACGTTTCGGTGTAGATGCAAACATCGTTATCAAGCAAGTGATACACAACATGGACAAGGACAATATATACATGGAGGATATTTGAGTACATACAATTAACGAGCTTGATGTACAGTGTTAATAAGTTAGTAATCAGTCCGGTTTCAACAAGACCCCACCAAAGATCTGAGCAGGTGTTGCATAGTAATAGCTTGATTGTTCTGGTATCACACCAACCTCCTCCCACTTGTCCAGATGACGAACAGCTACAGCAGCAACACCAGCTTCCTGTACCCCGACTGACTTGAACACTCCTCCCGACTTCTTCGTAAAGACGAACATGTAGGCATTTTTCGTAAACACTTCCACCTCCAGGTAGAACAAGTATGTTCCAGAAACTGGTGCAGTGAAGGTCCCAGCAGTCATGTTATAGCCAGATCCAGCGTTGATGTCCATACGGTTGAACGTCAGGGGAGCGTACCCAGCACTGCTGGTGCGAGCGTCAGCTGATGGCCTCCACACATGGAATGACACGGTCTTTGATGCTGAAATACAGTACAAAAACAGAAGGGCTCAGTTGACCTACACATCTTTACATTTCTTTGCTATTCTTTCGTGTATTTGAACTTAAGATAACCCAAAATTGTCAGTAATTTCTGAATTAAAATGGGGTGACTCTCTCTCTCTCTCTCTCTCTCTCTCTCTCTCTCTCTCTCTCTCTCTCTCTCTCTCTCTCTCTCTCTCTCTCTCTCTCTCTCTCTCTCTCTCTCTCTCTCTCTCTCTCTCTCTCTCTCTCTCTCTCTCTCTCTCTTTCTCTCTCTCTCTCTCTCTCTGCACTGGGTAGGGATGCCACTTGTGTTTTCAGTGAGGTTACGTCCGCAGCAGCCTGTACATTGCTGGCTTGGAGTGTGGTGACAGTCTGCTGAAGCTGGGCGACGAGTTTTGACAGGGTGGTGAGATCAGTGGCGACCTGCGGCTTCGGCGTGGGCATGATAAGCCCCGACAGAGACCTACTCTGCAAAATACACAGAAACAGAACTGCTACAAACTTGTGCATGGTGTTGAACAGGATTTGTTAGTCATCCGTCTTCAACCGTTTATCTACATAACCTACATCACGAGATGTCACGAGATGTCGCCAGGCAAGACACTCCTACTGCAATTCTTGTAATGTTCCGCATCTGTTGTCTCTCATAACGTAAAGAGAGTTAATATGCACAATGGGAGAAATAGCTTATCTCCCTTTAGTTCGCCATGATATAGGTGACACCACGACAGTCTTAGTCTTCTTCTAGACACACAGGCAAGTTGAGTCGTTTACAAACGTAGTTCATGTTAAAGATAATAGAATACCGTCGAGGTGATCTAGCAGACTTAAATCAAACACATAGTTCCTAATACATGGGCATGTTTGAACTCTACATTCCGACATCCTTTTTTTGAAATAGCAGTTACTATGAACCGAAATATACCTTGACAATAGTATACTTGGACTCTCTATTATCGCGGCACGTGAAAACATCGGCAAGGCGGAAATACCACGTCCTCTGACGGTTGTTTATATATGCAAATTATGTCAACGAGTTCATCGCTCCGTCAAAAGTGATTGTTTCTGCAGAATATCCCGTCTAATCGTAAGTATACTAAAATATCCATTGGTTTGACCACTATCAGGAAGCTGTATTTGCCAAGTGGTCTTCGTCTTGCTTTTGATGCTACTCAGAATGGATTGGCAGTTTACCGTGCAGCCAGACAATATGGTGTGCCTGAGTCAACGCTCAGAGACCGTACACGTGGTAACATCCTTTTGGAGATTTTCTCTGGACCAGACAGACGTTTCAGTTGTGGAGAGGAGGAGGACCTTGTCAGCCATACACCATACATGGCAGGTGTTGGTTAGAGCTACTCCAAGTCAAATGCGCAGTACCTTGCAGCCGACTATGCTCACTCACTTGGTAAGAAGGAAGCAACTAACAAACCACTGAGCGACTGCTGGTTTTATGGATTTATGAGAAGATGGCGTAAAGTCAAACTTGCCAAACCTCAGAAGTTAAGTCTAATGAGAGCACAGTACTCTTCAAGGGTGGTCCTGGACAGTTATTACAAAGAATTGTCAGGTATTCTTTCAGTTCAAAATCTTAAAGACAGACCAGAAAGAATATATAACATTGACGAGACAGGTGTCAACAGAGAGCACTCACACCTAAGGTTGTGTGTCATTCCAACTCTCAGCCCCAGGCAGTAACATCTCCAAGATCATCAACTGTCACAATAATTGGAGGAGGTAACTATATTCCACAATATTTCATATTTCCTGGTAAGAGATGGAAGCAAGATTATTCTGATGGCGAAATGTCTGAAAGTGGATGGTCAAATACCGATGTCTTTTTTAATTATTTGACAAAACACTTTGTGAAACATACAGGGATCATATTTGATGAGCACAAATCCCACACATCAATGATGTTGGTTGACTGGGCTAAATATTATATCGTTTCTCCTCACACCAGTCATGTTAGACAGCCTTTGGATGTTGGTGTATTTGGGCCGTTCAAGTCCATGTATCACAGGGCCTGTCAAAACCACCTACACAGATATCCAGGAATGGAAATATCAAAGTATAATGTTGCACTGCTAACTGCACTTCCATACATGCCATACATGTGCAGAAAGTTTACCTTCTGCTTTCCTGTTGTCTATCCATTTTCAAGATCTAAAGTCCTAGATAATCAGGCACCTTCTGATTTCTACAAAGATCAAAATGACATGGAAAATCATTCAGGAAATGCCACTGAATCACAACCTGAAACAGCAACTTCTTTTCTTCTGCTACTCCTACTGATGTATCCAACAAGCATGATGACAAATGCGATGACTTTTCCAAGGCCAAAACAATGAACAACGACTGATAAGAAACCAACGAAGAAATGTATCCCACCATTCCTTGGAGGAGGTATAATGAAGAAGAACATTGACATTCTGAAGATATCAAATACATCAAAGTCATCACAAATAGTGATCTCCGATTCAAAGATTGTGACTTCTGAAAAACAAAACAAAGTTCAATCAGTCAAGAATCCAAGTCCACAACCAGGTCCATCAGCCCTTTATGTTGTCAGCTCTGATGATGATGATGATGATGATGATGATGATATGATGATGATGAAACCATGTCTATGTCCGAGGATGAATCTAACAACTGCTGTGTCTGTGGAAAATTTTCTCCTCCTGACTTGAAGAACTGTGTCAACCATGTCATAGGTAAGTGGGCACAGTGTGACAAGTGTGGTCACTGGACACACCTTACCTTCTGTACACCCATCAGAGTTGTCAGACAGACTGGGGGATTTCTTTGCCCACACTGTTGGTAATGACTCAAACTGTTTTGTTTTTGTTTTGTTTGTGTGTTGCTGTTGTTTGTCAGTTTTGTTGTTGTTGCTGTTGTTGTGTGGGTTTTTTTTGGTTGTTGTTATTCTTTTGTTTGTTTTGGGGTTTGTTTTGGATTTTAGTGTTTTTTGGGGGGGTTGAGGTTTTTTTGTTTTGTTTTTTTTGTGTGTGGTTTTGGGGGAGGGGGGTTTTTTTACTTTTCAACGATTGCAAAATAAACTTCGACATTTAACCTGCTTTAATGCATTTGGGATATAAATACACATGCGGATGGATAAGATTTGTTACCTGTGGTAAGTAAGTAAACGTCAAAAAAGTGTTTCACATGCATGTGCAGCTTGAAGTCCTTCCCTTCCCGCTTCCCGCGGGACAGGTTGGATCGCCGCGATCGAATTGAACAGATAGTGACTGCATACGACAATATTTACGACAGAAATGAAGATTCAACACCAGTAAGCTAGAAATATCTAAAAAAATACCAAAAATCGGTTGGTGTTCATAATCCTGATAGCGATAACATTAACTACCGCGATAATATATAGAGGGTCCCATGATAAATATCATTTACATAATTACCCGACTAAAATTGTTAGTGTTATGTTAGTGTATATCCGAACGGTAATGTCATCAGTGAAATCATCCGATTTAACAAACGTTGGATTGACGAATCAACTTGACACCTACATACGTTCACACAGGTAAAGGTCCAATTACATGGGAAAGTGTGACTGTCATACTGATTTTACGAAACGAGCGTCAGACATCTTGTGATTCCTGAGTAAGAATCATACCTGAATTCTAACACAAGTTTCGTAAAATAAGTATGCTGTTATACATTATTTCTTTATCCGTTTATCAAGCTTTAGCAAATTCTCATGACGACAGACATCCTTGAAAAAACACAACTGTTAATTATGTCAATCAGAGGTACAGATAATCTGCGTATCTGCGTAAATTACGCTAATATTTATGTGAAAACACAATTCCTTTTAAGTCTATTGCGTACAAGTACGCTTGAATTTTTGTAAATACTCAGTAAATGTCATCTTACATGCGTACACACAAAAATGCCAAATCTTAGCTTGCGTACCGGTGGATAGATAAAATAACTGAGGTATACTGAGAGGTTCTATTTCAGGGCATGAACTTGAAAACTTGCAGTCTTTCTTAGCGTTTCTCATATTACAGATCAAATATAAATAACAAACATTAACATTTAAACTTCATTATATTTTTAAAATTAATGGAAAATGGCAAAATACCCAATTGAATTTGAGTGAGGTGAGTACAATTTATTTGGTTACTCAAAGGAAAATTAGGATACCCAATTGAGATGAACACAAGCGAGTTCATAACTCAATGACTTAAAAAAACTTATCTGGAGCTCTGGTCAATTATCTCCAGCTATGACCTCCTTTTCAACATTATTCCAACGATACGAATGAAGCCTACAAGGCTGTTCGCGATCGGATGTCGTCACCAATACCCAATGCACGTGAATTTATAATGGAACTGGTGAATGCCTACTTCTTGTTAGAATGTTTAACCCGCAAAATTTTGCAAAGATGTTATCAGTGGGGAAGTCCAGCCTTATACCTATTGTTTTCTTAGTTTCTTCAAATGACATTTGCTTTCATTTTTGGCAAATAACCCTGAACCTCTGACGATAGATACATAAGTATATCAGTGTTCACCACGTTCACAACTCCTCCATTGTGCAGTACTTAGTTGAAAAATCAAATGATTTGACAGAAATGAACTCGAACTGATTCTGAGACTAAACATTCAAGCAAATCCACTGAGTTTTGGCGAATCCACATGGTATTGGTTCCGTTTGTCTTAAATATTTACTGTGAATATATATAAAAGGTCCTTCAGTGAAGTATTAAGCATTGTGGCTGATCTTTGAGACAGGGATTTGGTGGTACATGTCCTGGACACATCTCTTTCTACGGATGTTGAAGGGGCTTTTGAAACCAGTACAAAAGAGGAATGGACATGCCTTCGGGTTGACCTTAGAACGATAACATTTCGACGGTGCACTGCTTGGTCTATTCGTGGCACCACTAGCCAATGTCCATGCCATTATAGTCATGCATAGACAATTTGTGTCGAGGAGTATTTAACTTTTTACAAAGCATATATTGTAATGCATTTCCAAGTAAACTGTGTAGCTGAACACATCAGAGACCAATCAAGGGATCAATCATCAAACACATTCTACAAATAATCCTGTAAAAATCTTGCTAAACAAATGTATTCCTTGAAATGAGAAACCAAAACATGAGTCTTATTAACCAATTCAGACAAAGACCTACTTTTCAACCCATCCGAATTTTCTCTTGTGAAAGTGAAAAGAGACACTACAAACAACTATGGTTACACTAAAGTCCAATTACTTGTTTCATAAGAAAATGGGATTTACAAACTGATTTTAATTTTATTGTTTTAAAAATTCTACTTTTTATGTCGAGATTTAGGCAGCATGTCGTTAACTAAGACGTCACATACTGCCCCTTTTTGAAGAAGTCGCACAATGATTCACAATTCATCTGGCTCACTGCGCTTAATAAGTGTATTTTTGTAACTTACAATGTGATTGATATAATATCAAGTCCGTACCCGACCGCCAAACTTTTCTTGCGGCCAAGCCTCGTTTTGAGATTTCCTCAATTTCCAGATTTTCGTTTGTCAGAGCACGCTGTACGACAGAGCACGCTGCTCGACGTGTTTACAAGGATTAGAAGGAGCGTAGTGTTGCAATACACAATTGATTAGATGTATCAAAAATACTGATTAATATTTATATATTCAGTTGAATGAGTTGGTCTCAAAATTCTGAATTTGTTATTGTACTAAGTTGCGCAATAGGACAGAACCCAGTCAACAGGAAACGAGACTGTTTTGACTTGAATCTTATGCGAGTAGGAACCTAAGATCAGGTTTGCATCCCGAATCACCCTGAATATGTTTCCGTGCCATGTTCGAAGGGTTAGTGGTCAACGTTTAGAACATGCCTCATGTATGGCTGTACTCCCACATCGACTTACTACGTTTCAAATCAAGACACACCCGCCAGTACTTAATGGAGCCAAAATGGGCTGCAGAGGTCTAAGGCACTTCAGTTGCATCCCATATCCATGTCACATCTGATTATAAAGGGAGCCATCTTGCTCCTGATAACTGTTTAACTGGTGTAGGCATGTTTCCTCATAAAATATGACTTATTGCTCACACAGTAAAGAACAGCTCATAGCATCTTTCCTGAAACACAGTGAAGTTTGGTTTTAGCTCACTCACAGCGAGGGGTATAACTCTGCCATTACTGACCGAGTTGGTGTCCCGAAAGTATGCCATAATAGGGCCCGTATGTAGGTCACGGCATTTCGCGAGACTTTAATACTTTCGGTGACAAACAACGTTTCATACCTTTTCGAATGCTCTTATGGTTGTCACTTGGCAGTAAGGAGCCGATACTTCTTGCAGGAATTTCCGATCTAACCACCCCTAAACTAGCCAACTATTACGACTGTCAGCAGCTGTGACAGTCAAGCATGGCTGCACACTTGGTCCGGTCTAGTAAAGTCATATTTGGCGGTCGCGTAATTTGGAACCTGAATTGGTTCTTGAATATACGCTTGTCACTTGAACTCTGGTACCGGAAGTAATTTGGCTCCCATCTCGCATAGCGCAAGTTGGCGCGTGCAAAGAGAGCCGGGAACCAGCTTAGTACCGGAAGTAGCGCCTCGCGAGACTTACAGGCCCTATTGATAGCAGTGTGTTTGCCGCATACATCAAAGAGAAACATGATGAAGTATGTGTTTACTATGTTCAGCGATTACACAAATTCTATAGTCTGTTTGCAAGGGGATATGCACATTAAATGAAACACCGAGATCAAGTTCGGTTGGTCTCAGTTAACGTACGTGCATTTGTTTCACTGTTCCAACCGTGGTCCTGTGCTCAAAGCTCAGGTCACAAATCGGTGAAGTTAAGCAGCGTCGAGCTCGGAGAGTCCTTGGATGGGTGACCGTGTTTGGCAGCTTGACTCCTGAGAGTTTCTAGGACTTGAGTCCTGCCCCACAACGAAGCACATGTGACACATGTGGTCCCACCTTAGGCAAGTGAGATTGTTCAAAATTGTCTCTGTTCACCCAGCAGGGTACCCGGTGGGAAAAAGTCATGTGACTATAACCTTCTAGCGCCTAACAGGCAGCTTGGGTTATCCGGGGTAATAATGTGCTGTGCCTTGATTGTTAGCGCTATGAGCATACCTAGTGTGGAGTTTGGCGCTATATAAATGGACACATTATGATTATTAGTCCAACTACTGCGCTTGCCCCCTTGTAATACAAACCAATAATAGCGATATGGATCTATGGTCTTTGTTAAACAACTTTATCCTAAGTTAAATAAAATTCTGAGATTTAAATGTTCAGTTAGCAAGGTAAAATTATGAAGATTCGCAATCTTAATTTCACTTTATATATAATGATCTTTCTTCTGGCCAATACGACATGGTCTTTTGTTGGTTACCCAGCCACGTTGCCATTTCTGGGAACACCATGGCCGATCTTGCTGCTAAGGCAGCACTCAAGAATCTGTGACACCACTTCTTATTCCATACTCTGATTACAAAGCTCTGATTAGATCGTACATCCGTGATCTGATGCAGAAGAAGTGGGACACCCAAGTAGGTATTAATAAATTACATGAAATAAAACCCTATGTTGGTTATACCTACTTGGGTTGTCAGTCCAGATTTGAAGAGGTCATCATGCTACGATGTCGTATTGGTCACACAAGATATACTCATGTATATCTATTGAAAGGCGAGGATCCTCCGTTTTGTATCCCTTGTGATGAGAGAGTCACTGTCAAGCATATCCTGCTTGACTGTGTTGAATTCTCCATCATAAGGGATAAATATTTCAATATCAAACAGTAAAGGACCTTTTTAATAATGTTAATTATCTTTTAATTATTGATTTTTTTAAAAGAGATAGATTTGTTAAATAAATTTTGATATATGTTTTGTAAATAGGTAAGGTTTTATAATTGGTAGTTTTAGATTATCAACTTCGATTGTTAGTGGCTGTATCCTCAAAGGGGGTTAATAAACAGTAAAAATATTGTCCTCCTGAGAGGGTACGTAAGTCCAAAAACGTTTAAGGTCAATTTCGCTCTACCGAACTTTTAATCGTAGCATATTCGTTGTATTAAATTATGGCTTCACTTTCCTACAATCGCCGACGGCTGAAGGGATGGTGTAAATACAACTAGGGTCCATGCAGGTAGCAACAGCACTGTAAGTCCCCATGGTCCCTGGTATGGTGATCTACCTTCAGTTGTTGGCGATCTATAGCCCATTTCTATACTGTATTGTCCTAATTTAAAAACCAATTTTAGAGAGAGATGCTAGTTTTATTTCTTGATACTGTGATATTCTAGATGGTTTTATTGTCCTTCGGTGACAGGTTTTTATAATTTACATGTATTTATGGTGAATTCTAAACTTGTTTTAGTTACGATATGGCTGAAATATTACCGATGTGACTTTAAATTTTAACTCACTCACTCACTTTAAAGTGAAATTCACCGGTACGTTTTCACTGCAAACAGACAATACTCATGTATGACGTTTATTTCAGGTATCTGAAGGGATTGTTTCACAGACAGTCATTCCAAAAGGCTACTTGGAAAATGTCTCATAATCAAAAGAGTATCTCATGCAGCTGATATTGAACAGCTACCTTGCTTTGTTGTATTTTCCAACATTCCAAAGGATCAGTCCGCTGTCAACAACACACCACCGAAGTAATGAGCAGGTGTGGTATAGTAATAGTTCGGCTGCTCTGGTATCACACCAACCTCCTCTCCCTTGTCCTGATGACGAACAGCTACAGCAGAATCACCCGCTTCCTGGTACCCGGCTGACTTGAACAGTCCTCCCGACTTCTTCGTAAAGACGAACATGTAGGCATTTTTCGTAAACACGTCCAGCTCCAGGTAGAACAAGTATGTTCCAGAAACTGGTGCAGTGAAGGTCCCAGCTTCTTCATAAAGACGAAGATTTCAGCGTTCCTCGTTAACACGTCCACCTTTAGGTAGAACAGGTAGGTTCCAGAGACTGGTGCAATGAACGTCCCTGCTGCCATATTGTAACCAGAGCCAACGTTGTTGAGGATATGACTAAAATTCAGGAGAGTGAAAACAAAAGTTGTTTTGTTGGGTTTGTTTGTTTGCTTGTTGTTTTTTTGGGTTTTTGTTGTTGTTGTTGTTTGTTTTTTGTTTTTTTTGGGGGGGTGTTTGTTTGTTTTTTGGTGTGTGTTTTTTATTTTTTTTAAAAAATTTTTGGGGTGTGTGTGTGTGTGTCGGCAATAAGATTAGAAGGGTCGGTCGGGCGGAGAAACACAGAAAATAGAAATGCTGCCCTTATTACAGAAAACACATAATTTTTTATGATCATGAACTTAATATAGCGGAAATGTACATGTAGTGAGTTATTTCTGAATGGATACAGGAGTGGCAAAACCCTTTAAATCGGACATCACCTTTGTCACTGATGTTGCTTCAGATCAGGAAATGCCCTCCAAACATCTACCATAAAACTTCAAAGCGTTGAGTGTTGTAGCCTTGGTGGAATAAATTCTGAGCAAGAATTGGAATACACTCTTTGAAATCTTGGTTAAAAAACATACTCCACTGAACCTCAGAGAACTGTATGCCTCCCATCCTTGGAATATTTGATCACTGGATTGTGTGCTCCATACTCGTTTATTTACAGATCTCCGCCATATACTGAATAATTGCTGAGTGTGACATTAAACAACAAACAAAATCAACATGTGAACGTCAACAGGCGTGGTGTCTACTGCTGTATCAGTCTGAACTAGAACAGGGACATCTGTTTCATATTGGGATCTCTGTCAGGTTAATTACCTCCAATACAGTATGTTATTGACTTCGGGCGGTGGGATAGCCTAGTGGTTAAAGCGTTGGCTCGTCACGCCGAAGGCCCGGGTTCGATTCCCCACATGGGCACAATGTGTTAAGCCCATTTCTGGTGTCCCCCGCCGTGATATTGCCGGAAAATTGCTAAAAGCGGCGTAAAACTAAACTCAGTCAGTCAGTCAGTGTTATTGACTTCTGAATAATTAACATGTTAACTCGATCGATGCTCAAGCTGTTGAACACCGGGTTGTCTGGTCCAGACTCGATGATTATTGACAGACCACCGCCACATGGCTGGAATATTGCTGGGTGCGGCGTAAAACTAAATTCACTCATCCTCTCTCTGCACTAAGTATTAACTTACCAAGCTTAAGGGATGCCACCTGTGTTGTTCAGTGAGGTTATGTCCGCAGCTGCCTGTACATTGCTGGCTTGGAGTGTGGCGACAGTCTGCTGAAGCTGGGTCACGAGTTTTGAGGGGATGGTGAGATCAGTTTTGCAACCTGCGGCTTCGGCGTGGGCATGATAAGCCCCGACAGAGACCTACTCTGCAAAATACACAGAAACAGAACTGCTACAAACTTGTGCATGGTGCTGAACAGGATTTGACAGTCATCCGTCTTCAACCGTTTTATCTACATAACCTACATCACGAGACGTCAAGAGATGTAACGAAATTTGAACTTGATTACCAGACAAGACGCTCCTACTGTCATTCATGTAATGTTCTACATCTGATGTCTCGCATAACGTTAACAGAGATTTTAAAATACACTAGCAAATGTGTCATACGACTCATACGATTCATACGACGTGTTTGAACTTTTGTATTGAAAGGGCGAGAGCTTCGGCAATACACAATTTTGCACCAGTTTCGTATAAGTCGTGTGCCACACTTGAGAGTGTAATAATTCCTTTTTATCCATTTATCCATGTACATTTGTGCAGTAAAAGACGGTAAGCAAGTATGACTGCCCTGTTAATTGACGTCAGGTTCAAACGTTTAATGACGTCACAGACTACGAAATAGACCGCCTCCGTAGTGTAGTGGTTAGAGCGTCCGCCGGAGAGCGGAAGGTCTCGGGTTCGATCCCCGACCGCGTCATACCAAAAGACGTTAAAATATGGTACTTGTTGGTCCCTGCCTGGCGCTCGGCATTAATGGGTACAACAAGGACTGGTCGGCTCGGAGTCAGTATATGTGTCTAAGTGGGGTATTCATGCTTCACTGCGGCATGGTATCTCAGTGGGCTAGCACTATATAACCAGCTCGTCTGGGCTAGTACAAGCAGCCGCACATACATACACACACGCATGCACGTCGTCATATGAACGAAATATTCTCGAGCACGACGTAAAACCCCATTTCAACTCACTTCACCTCACCTCATCTCACCTCACCTCACGAAATACAGAACCAGTCGCTGCTAGGCAAAAGTGATATGTGCACATTGGGAGATAAAGCTGATAGTTATGTGGTGGTCACGGTGTGGTCCTGGTCATAGACCTCAGGTCACAAGTCAGTTAAAGTTAAGCAACGATGGGTGCGAAGAGGTCTTGAATGGTTGACCGCGTTTGGCAGCTTGACTCCTGAGAGTTTCTAGGACTTCAGTCCTGCCCCATAACAAAGCATACGTGATACATGTGGTCTCACCTTAGGCTAGTGAGTTTGTTCAAACTTGCCACTGATCACCCAGCAGAAAACGGTAACCGGTGGGATGTGACTAGTAACCTTCTAGCGCCTTACAGCTTTGGTTATCCGGGGTAATAATAATCAGATTGTGTGTTAGCGTTTTGTGCCTCGTACATGCATGTGGAAAAGGCGCATTACAAAATCACAATTACTATGTGCGCGGACTGCTTTTCTATTGTACTTCACAGAAATGATAAAGAAACACAAATTTAAAAACAAACAATTTCTGGCATGGTTGTGCGTATTTGAAAAACTAGGTTTTCTTTATATAAGCCACTAGTTGGTGGTTAGTGCGTCAGTGTTGTATACGTGCGCAGTGAAGCGGTCATAAAATTAGACGCATTTTCAATCGAAATTTATAGTGTCTAATATGATTGATTGTCCCATTAAATTCGAGTATGTCACGTAGTTATGGGAGAATTAATAACAACTTAGCAGGAAACCAGTGTGTTATTATCTACATAGTATATGACACCATAAATTCAGAATGATAATGCTTCGGTAGCAGTATTGTGAATTATAACAAAATTATCTTGTACACTTTCCTGGTTTTGCATTGCTGCAAAAATCCAGCAGAGACCCTTCACGGCTCATGACTCTCAAATCGTTCTTTGCCTCCATTACTCCATTCTCTTCCCGCAGAGGTTACTTGTCATATCTTCCTACGAACCTCTGTTCTAATACGACCCTTTCATGGTGCGAGTGTTCAGGATTCGTGATTGGTTGCAATCAGATTTAGTTGTGCAATCAGGGACGTTGTTTCAAAAGTGATCATTCGCAAGGCCTCGGTTATTTCCGTATGCTTCGGGAAAACTGGAACCTCTTTCCCTGCGCGATGCGCAAACGTTTCTTATAGACAAAACTCAGTCATGTAAATGGTGGATCGGACAAGCTAGCCATTAAATGTCTTGTGTGTCACATCAGCACACGTTCCTGGCAGAGGAGGGATATTTGTGACCAAACATTTGCTTGTATTAGTCAAGTTGATGTAACACGTGTTCTGATTGGACAGAAAGAAGGGAGATAATTCGTGTTGCGATTTTATGCCGCTAGGGATTTTACGAGAACCGGGAAACATGGCCGTATTAGAACAGAGGTTCGTAGGAAGAAATGACAAGTAACCTCTGTGGGGAGAGAATGCCATTACCCCTGCCAGTTTCCAGTTCAACGGAGTGAAGGAACAAGAGCAAGCAGAAATTGAAAATAAATATCAAATTGCCTGATATTACCATTAAACTGTTGAAGGTTATTTATCGTATCTACAGTCGTTAATGTTAGAATTTTCGTCACATTTATTCTAAAAAAGAAACTTCTGACGAAGCGGATGAATGAATGCATGTGAGATAACTCTGCAAGTATTCCATATGGTGGACATGTGATTCAATAAGTATATTTAGAGTTACCTCCCCTGTTCCTTCACTTCGTTGAACCGGAAGCTGTCAGGTATAATGGAGGCGAAGAGCGATTTGATATGCCACGAGTGGTGTTTAAAATGTTGAATGAAATATGCACATGGTATACAATCCCTACCCATATGAGAGCACAACCCTGTGAGGAAATGGGTGTCTACCTTTGATGGTGGCGATATTTTATTTTGACAGTAAAATATTTTTCGAACCGAAGCGTGGGATGTACGTTGCCAATCTTTGCTCGCTTCGCTGGCATATAGGAAGACTGGTATTCTCTCTCTGTTGCGCAGCTCTATTTGCGCTACAGTTTTATTGTGCTTCAGCAAACTGTTGTATTTGTTTGTTGTTTAACGTCTAACTCAGCAATATTCCAGCTACACGACGGCGGTCTGTATCCCGATCCCATTGCTTTCACTCACCGGTTTGACCTGTGAAGATCGAGGTTAGAATATTGATCTTCAGCAACCCATGCTTGTCGTAAGAGGCAACTAACGGGATCGGGTGGTCAGGCTCGCTGGCTTGGTTGACACATGTCATCGGTTCCCAATTGCGCAGATCGACGCTCATGCATTTGATCACTGGATTGTCTGGTCCAGACTCGATTATTTACAGACCGCCGCCATGTAACTGGAATATTGGTGAGTGTGGCGTAAAACTAAACTCACTGACTTACTCACCCACCGGTTTGCCTGGTCCAGATTCGACTGTTATGCGCATGGTGATGTAGCTGAGTGTGACGTTACTTGTTTGAAATATGACCTTATTTACGCGAGTGATTGAGAGAGTGAGTTTTATTTACACCGCTCTTAGCAATATTCCAGCAATATCACGGCGGGGGGACACCAGAAATGGGCTTCACTCACTGTACCCATGTGGGTAATCGAACCCGGGTCTTCGGCGTGACGAGCGAACGCTTTAACAGTGTATGAAATAAGCCAAAAATCCAGCCAGACATCAGTGCTGGTAAGCTCAAAATGTTACCAGCCCAAAATGGATTTATTCAGACCAAATATGGTGAATTTATTCAGATGTATGGAACATTTAAAAAATTTACCAGACCATCGGGCTGGCTAGCTGTAAATGTAGACCGTCCGTCAGAAATCTAGACCGTCTCGGGCGGTCGGACGGGCCATATTTCATACACTGGCTTTAACCACTAGGTCACATGCAACGTAAAACACAACTTTGCAGATTCTGATTCCTTTCGGTATGGACTTACCGTAACAAATCATCAAAAATGCAAATTCAACTTATAAAGTTGAAAAATAACGCGATGAAAAAACCGCGCGAAATCGTAGTTCAAACGATTCACTAACTTTCCCCCAGCGCTTGGGGGAATTGAAGTGGTTTCAACAGCTGTGCTGCGCTCATAGCACATGCGCAGTGAAATAGGTTCGCGGAGCTTGGAAGCGGGTTGTCCGGTGAATATTCGGTGAAGGCTTTGGTGTGAGCTATTTTTCTAATGTTTTGTTGATATTTCACAGGCGCGAGCTTTTTATATGTTATTACAGTAGATTACCGATTTAACTGTTTATATAATTTCATTTGTCTTTTTCACCACACGTTCTTCTTACCGAGTCACTTTCTCAGTTCGATACTTAAAAGCAATGTCATTATTTAGCGTCGACAGAATTTCTAACTGTGATATAGATATGTCGTTGTCACAGACAAAACTCAAAGTCAGTTTTATTGGCACCTATATGTCTGCCTGCCCGTCTGCTAATGACAATATTCAACACACAATTTCAATCACTTACCACATGCAATTTGAACTTAACACCAATGAGGCTATACACCATAAACAAAATGCATTGATTTATGGCCCGAGTTCGATCTCTGTCACATTATGTAATTACACAGACAGGCAGGTGTGATACTTGTACACATGACATGTTATGATGTCTGTTGATTGCAAAATTTTATACACAAAAAATTAGCATGTATTTACAAAACCCAACATCCCTATATATACACACAATCAGCCGTGACGGCATCTGCAAATGAACCAGCCGTTACACTTGAGTGCACACCCACCCGCTCTGACTGGGTTCGGTATCCCGGTTGCTTCGTTTCTTGGGAAGTAAACCCAAGTACAAAATATTGCACTTTTGATTTGCAATTGTACGCTTATAATTTTGTTTTTATGTTTTTTCATAACCAGCAATGCATATTATATGTCATGAATAAATGATAATTGTGTTTTAATTATGTTTGATTGTTTGGTTGCATGTGACCTTTAAGTAATATCACAGGAACCCAACAACCACCAACACCAATAACAAATATGAATGCCACAAGAGCAATACAAAACAATCTAATCAGGGAGTTGTACAGTGTCACATATTGTACTTGATCTATGACACTTTTACAAGTTGGGAGAACGTTCCTCACGGCGGGACCAGCCGTGATAACGAGGTACCCTTTATAACGCTAAGAGAAAATTGTTATATTTTTCGTATCTTCACCCGAAAAGATTTGTACTGACGTTAAACCGAAACATACTTTGACAGACATTTATTGAAGCGGCCAAGAAAGCGGAAGTATTAAATTCATAGATTTGCTGTTTAATGAAGTGAGTCCAAATTATTCAGCGCATATGTCGTTCCTTCGCATTGCGTTGTTGCAGAATTTGAGGACACACGTAACAGTTGCTTGGATTTAAGAATAAGGCCCGCAGGTATTTTTAAAACAAGTTCCAACAAAGCTGTCCGCCTTCAATATCCTTCGATAATAATATCCACCATTCCTGATTGAATTGATTTAAAAAAAAAAAACACTTTTCCAAGAAGAAACATTTTCCAGAGAGAGCCCAACCCAGTCAGGATCCGACTTTTGCAGAAACCCAGTGTGTTTATCTTTTTTAAAGGTCACTATGTGAACTAAGACTTGTTTGGGTCCAACGTCTCGGAATAATAGAGGATACATATGTGTAACATTTTTAAACAAGCCTCGCATGAAGGCGGACGGGCTTCAAGGTCGATGTGAATGTTGAAGTGACAGTTGAAGCCACAATGGCGAGTCCTTTCCCGAGGAGAAGGAAGATACAACTACTTGAGACAGTTACCTTTGAAAGATGGGTAGGTGTTGTATACCATGTGCATAGTACTGACTGTGTGATATAAACACTCGGTGAAGGTTTTAGATAAGTCAGAACTATAATTGAGACAGTTACCTTTGAAAGAAGGGTAGGTGTTGTATACCATGTGCATAGTACTGACTGTGTGATATAAACACTCGGTGAAGGTTTTAGATAAGTCAGAACTATAATTGAGACAGTTACCTTTGAAAGATGGGTAGGTGTTGTATACCATGTGCATAGTACTGACTGTGTGATATAAACACTCGGTGAAGGTTTTAGATAACTCAGAACTATAACTGAGTCAGTTACCTTTGAAAGATGGGTAGGTATTGTATAGCATGTGCATAGTACTGACTGTGTGATATAAACACTCGGTGAATGTTTTAGGTAACTCAGAACTGTAATTGAGACAGTTACCTTTGAAGATGGGTAGGTATTGTATACCATGTGCATAGTACTGACTGTGTGATATAAACACTCGGTGAAGGTTTTAGATAAGTCAGAACTATAATTGAGTCAGTTACCTTTGAAAGATGGGTAGGTATTGTTTACCATGTGCTTTCTAATGAATGTGTGATATAAACACTCGGTGTTTAAAAAATGGTATAAATATATTCCATGAAAAGTGCAAACATTCGGTTTAGCTTTTAGATGAGTCAGAAATCATTTAGCGCTCCGCTCACACGGAAAACGGGGACACAGGTGATTGCCATGTGACATTTCAGATATCATGTGATCTTGTATACAACAGTTTACATTGAGGATACGGATACAATCAGCTGCAGCGTCCCACTCTGACGAAAACCTCACACAGGTTAGATGTTTTATATTTCGTTCCATAAATTAACACCCAAACACAAAATGGGCCTCAAAAAATGGGCCATTTCTATGGCATCGAGCCTTTTGTTACTAAATCTCATTTATCTCGAAACAATCGGAGAGAAGAGGTTCTTTTACGAGTGGGGGTGTTGTGGTCTAGGTGCATGTCTCAATATTATTACTATATATATTTCTGCGAATTGAACAGAGTGTAATCGGCCAGATAATGTGGCTTATTATTAATTTTACTGCACTGCCAAGAAATATGTAACTCAACGTAAGGCGATGGCGGAATGACCTCTCATTGGCTGGACTATTATGTTCCAGGATTATTATGTTCGCCATGAAGTTCAAAATGTAATTCTTGCTTTGTTACTTTAAGACATTTATAAACTTAGCACGCCTTATAATGCAAAGTGTAAATGGGCCTAGATGCCCGAACACCAATAAAACGTTTAATAATCAGACCGGATGGGCTTAAATTGGTCTTCATCAACCCATACTTGTAAGAGGCGACTAACGGGATCGGGTGGTCAGGCACTGGCGTAGCTACCATTATTAAAAAGAGCCCGGGCTTACACATGATTTTGGCTAAATAGGTAGGGCAAGTCCTCAATATTATCTAAATATAGTGTTTTGACCTATCGGGCTTACACGAAAAACTTGGCTTGCTACGCGCCTGTCGGGCTCGCTGACGTTGTGCACATTTCATCAAAGTCGATTGATGCTCGTGGTGTTGATCACTGAATTGTCTGGTGCAGATTAGATTATTTATAGCTGGAATACTGCCGAACAAACAAGAAACAACATTTAATAATGCATCAATGAGACGTTTCTTGGAACCGCCGATGAGTGGCGTCCCTTATTCCAACTGCTCATGATTCCTGCTGTCTGCAACACGCGAGAAACACGCCAACACAGCGATCTGCTTACATTCTGCTTCACAGATACAATAGTCAGTTACATGTATATATTGGCAAACCGGCGTTCTGTTGACGTCTTACGTGGTAGAAGCCAGCTGTGCCCCATACACTTTACGGGACACTGATCCAGAGCAATTCCCCGGGACTGGTTGTTGCTTTATTGGTTTTCCCTCGCGACTGCCCGGATGATATCCCATAATTCTTAACCGGGTTGAGATCTCTGCTGCGACACCCGCAAGCGCAATTGCTTATATGAGTATGATATGAATATACTAGTCTGTCATGCAGACCCTGAAGTAAATATATCAAGAAATCCCACGCAAGTCTAGAAAATGTGGCAAGTCTAGATTTCCACAGCGTCAGGGTCTCTGAAAATGAAGAAAGTCTCAGGGCTCCTTCAACCCATACTTGTTATAAGAAGCGTCTAACGGGATTGGGCTGTCATGCTCGTTGTCTAAGTTGACACGTCATCGTATCCACGATAAACATCAAACAAAAACAAAGTAATTTTCACTCTGAATCGTTGGGATGTGTAACGCCGTGCGGCGTAAAACTAAACTCACTCACTCAAAATACAAGGCTTAGAGTGATTTCAACGAACTGTTGTGTTTGTTTGTTTGTTGTTTAACGCCGCACCCAGCAACATTCCAGCTATATGGCGGCGATCTGTAAATAAACGAGTCTGGACCACACAATCCTGTGATCAACAGCATGAGCACCGATCTACGCAATTGGGATACGATGACTTGTGTCAACCAAGACAGCGTGTCTGACCACCCGATCGCGTTAGTTGCCTTTTTACGACTCAGTCCGCTCTCACAGGCACGTAAGCAAAATGTGCGTGCACCCTTTCACACCCCCCCCCCCCCCCACCGCTCTCTCTCTCTCTCCCCACTTCCCTAACCCCACATCCAACCCTGGCCCTAACCTATTAACCCACACCCTCATGCCCTGACACGCTCACAATCAGTCATGTCACTTGTGTTATATAATGACGTAAACCGAAACCAGCATCCACGATAAACGATGGATTTACTTTTACTTGGAATCACGAGTTGTTGAATTACGCAAGGACTGTTATGAAATCCGCGTGATGTGATTTTCCGGTTTGCGTGTTGAATGAACAAGAACACGTTGTCAGTGATAACCTGAGGCTTATCCAGTGCATTTGTACACAGTGAGAGCAGAGACCATGTACCTATATCTCTGGCGAGAGTGAACACTTTTCCCTGCTTTCATAACATGAACAACAAGGAGAGTTCTATGGATATACACCTTCTTTAATATGATATGAGCGACGTTTCGGTGTAGCTTATAACGGTGTTAGTAGCTACACCGAAACGTCGCTCATATCTTATTAAAGAAGGTGTATATCCATAGAACTCTCCTTGTTGTTCATCACACCACCTTCTAAATGCCACTTAAACAAGTTTTCATAACATGGTTGAAAGTTTGATCAGTTTCTCATCGATAGAAACTGTTGTTGGTTGTTGTTGTTGTTTAAAGACGCACTCAGCAATATTACAGCTGTATGACGTCAGTCTGTAAATAATGGAATCTAGACCAGTCAATCTAGTGATCAACAGCATGAGCATCGATCTACGTAACTGTGATACGACGATATGTGTCAACCTGACAGCCTGATCGCGTTAGTCGCCTCTTACAACAAGCATGGGTTACTGATGAGGCAGTAACGCTGCATCGAACTATCGATGTATTGTGATTGTTTAGCCTCCGATAGCAATTAATCGATGACAGAAAAGAAAAATATCGGTGCATCGATAGTATTTGTGACTATCTATAGTGTACTAATTGACTTCCTTTGATAAATGCGCAGCGCAAAATACAGGATGTACCGTTTACTTTGATTTAGAGTTAGCCGCCCCTGTTACCCCTTGAACAATTGAACAAACTTGGTCTGTGTTTCAAGTTTCTTGTCAGTTAAGAAAAAAGACCGAGACTACTTCAGCTTCTTTTTATTTCATATAACCTATATATTCATTTGGGAAATGACTTCAAATGCGATAATCCAAGAAGAAAAACAACTATCGCAACAGTATGTCGCAATAGACTTTCGCTATCGCAATAGTTGTTTCTCGCACAATAGTCACCCCTAGTTACTGAAGACCAATTCTAACCCAGATCTTCACGGACAGAAATTATAAGGAGTTATTCTCTCAAAGGGTAACCTATATCCGTAATCCGTATGAACACGTACGTACGATTAGCACATGGCATGGGTTCAGTTAGGGCAAATTAAAATGTAAGCAAACATGTTACAGTACATGCTCCATCTCTGAAAGCGTTCACATCACTTAGTGTAATTTCACAAAGATTTATACATACATTGGCGTCTACTTCACAATAACACGTGAATATTTGAAGCAGATTGGTGCCTACGTCAGAGACACGTGACGATTTCACAAAGCCCGTGCATATTTTTCCAAGACTGGCGTTTACTTCACAAAGACGTGCAGATTTCTACAAGACTGGCGTCTACTTCACAAAGACGTGCAGATTTCACGTAGATTGGCGTCTACTTCACAAAGGCATGCATATTTCTCCAAGACTGGCATCTACTTCACAAAGACATGCAGATTTCACTTAGATTGGCGTCTACTTCACAAAGACGTGCATATTTCTCCAAGACTGGCGTCTACTTCACAAAAGCGTGCAGATTTCACGTAGATTGGCGTCTACTTCACAAAGGCGTGCAGATTTCTCCAAGACTGGCGTCTACTTCACAAAGACGTGCATATTTCTCCAAGACTGGCGTCTACTTCACAAAAGCGTGCAGATTTCACGAAGATTGGCGTCTACTTCACAAAGACGTCCAGATTTCACGAAGATTGGCGTTTACGTCATAAAGACACGAAAATTTCACGTAGAGTGGCGTTTACAATATTCCAGCTATATCACGGCCTGGGACCTTCACATAAATAACGACATAAGGTACTTTTGTATTCAGAATCAGAAATATCGCCACAGCAGCATGTGGCTTCTGAATGTTACAAGTAGAAAACATGTTTATTTACTTTGACCCATACTTCCAGTATGGATACGTTTCCCAGAAAGTGTTATTCCAGAGAAATCACGTTTACGGCAATAGACAGATATTCCTCGGCGCGAGGCTACGTACGTAATAGTTAGCCCTCGCTGTCAGAGCGGTGACCTTTGGCAACATTTTTCGGGAAAACCCATTTCCCGAGAAAACTTATTAATAGTTGTCGGTAAGCCCCAGTGCTGCATCAAGGCGGTGACATGGATAGCTCTTCCCTTTCCTCCATGCTCGTAGAAATTGTACTAAAACCGGATATGCGAACTCTAATTGACTTTGATGACAGGATATTTGTTAAATTGAACTTTCCGAACATTTCCGAAATGTTAGTGGTATGATTTCTGTTTTTTCTATTTAAAACCCATATTATATGGAGGTAGTATATTTTGAACTAATGATTAATCTTGGAATTCCATGTATTTAGGGGGACTTAGGTCGCTTGTAAATAGAGATAAGGATAAGGTCCCCAGTAACGTGGGCATGTTGTAAGGGGAGAATATTTGAATCAGCCGTCGTCTCACTAGGAGCGGTGGTGTAGCCTGGTGGTTAAAGCGTTCGATCATCACACCCAAGACCCGGATTCCCCACATGGGTACAATGGATCAAGCCCATTTCTGTGTCCCCCGCCGTGATATTGCTGGAATATTGCTAAAAGCGGTGTAAAACTAAGGTCACTCATTCATTCATTCCTCACCAACAGGGTTGATGCATGTCAATGTGTACAATCAAGGGTCTTTTTAATAATATTAGTTAAAAACGATCACTTATGACAACAATGAAGCAGTGTCCGGATTTCGTCAGCGGCAGAGGTCCACAGCAACTTGCTCTGTGGGGCTCCCTAGCCTTGCTCCAAGGCTGTACTGAATGCTGAGCCCATGGATGTATAGTAATTCTATCCTTCGATGAGGGAAGTCTAGATAGGCGAATAATAATACCCAAGTCTGTTATTTATCATTTTTGGGAAATTATCATTTAAACTTGAGACAAATCATCAGAGTTGGTCTGTCGATTTCATGTGACTGTGCAACGTTTGATTTTGTTGCGTGTATTAGATTTGTGTTAGTGAGCAAATCATCTGTCTCAAATGACTGACTGACTGAGTTTAGTTTTACGCCGCTTTTAGCAATATTCCAGCAATATCACGGCGGGGGACGCCAGAAATTGGCTTAACACATTGTGCCCATGTGGGGAATCGAACCCGGGCCTTCGGCGTGACGAGCCAACGCTTTAACCACTAGGCTACCCCACCGCCCCTGTCTCAAATGAAGTCAAACGGACTGTAATATGTTGTATGACTGATTGAGGCGAATGTATATCAACATAGCTTCCTTCGTCAACACTTCAGATTTATTGACATGTTTGTTTGTTTGTTTTAACGCCGCCCCCGGACATATTCCAGCTATATGGCGGGGGTCTGTAAATAATCGAACTTTGACTGAGGAGAGGGTGGTTTACATCCCATTCAACATCTAACCAACATTTGAAAGCGGAAGCAAAACCTGAATAACTCGAAACGTTCCTTTACAGACGCCCGCCATATAACTGGAATATTGCTGAGTGCGGCGTGACACACCAAACAAACCAAACCAATTCCTCCGTAAGCATCTCTGCCGAACGAGGGCGCCACAGTAACTTGTCTGGCATTTTCTCGATTACGAGAACTCGACCCAAAATCTCCAACCGATGCTGCAGCGGTCTCAGAAGGAGTTGGGGGCCGAGGCTAGTCAGGTGTCTCCGACGTTGTCCAGCGACGAGCCAGACGGTCCATCAACACCCTTATATAAGGTAAAGGTCATTGTATGGCATCCTTGTCGTTCGCGCTGCCCTGTCTCGGGATGAGTGTGTCAGGTAATGAATTCTGCATGCTGTAGTGTGATTAGCTTGTGGTGATATTCGGCATTACGTAGTCTCATGGAGGAGCGAGATGTGTTTGGATTCTGTGGCTGACTTTGAACAGTTGGACAGGTAGGTAGTCGCTACAGTAGATTTCGGGATGAGTTGGTTTTCATCGGTACGTACTGATTGGGGTGAGATGAGTATCTGTAGGGTCGGATTGTGATTGTTCTATTTGTGGGGTATTTTGGAGTGAGATTGATAGGTGTGGGGTCGAGTTGTGATTGTTTGGGTTGTGGGATAGAGGATGTGGATGTGGCCGGGTAGGAGGATGTGGCTGAGTGAGTGAGTTTAGTTTTACGCCGCACTCAGCAATATTCCAACTGAGTGGCGTCATTCTGTAATAATCGAGTCTGGACCAGACAATCCAGCTATCGACAGTGTGAGCATCGATCTACACAATTGGGAACCGATGACATGTGTCAACCATGTCAGCGAGCCTGACCACCCGATCCCATTAGTCACCTCTTACCACAAGCATGGGTTACTGAAGATCAATTCTAACCTCTATCTTCACGGGTGTTCTAGTTGTGGGGTCGGGCTAGTGGGTGTGGTTGGGTTGGTCGGTGTGGTGGTTGTGGGGTAGGTTGCTGGTCCTGATTGTTTTGGTTGTGGGGTAGGTTGAAGGGTATGAGTGATTGTTTTATGACTGACTTGTTTTGGGATTAGGAAAAGTGGATGTAGTTGGTGCTGTGGGGAGGAGCCGGTGGATCATTGTGAATCTCGTTGTTGTATAGACCCGTGAAGATCCGGGGTAGAATAGGTCTTCAGTAACCCATGCGTGTCGTAAGAGGCGACTAACGGGATCGGGTGGTCACGCTCACTGACTTGGTTGACACATGTCATCGGTTCCCAATTGCGCAGATCGATGCTTATGCTGTTGATCACTGGATTGTCTGGTCCAGACTCGATTATTTACAGACCGACGCCATATAGCTGGAATATTGCTGAGTGTGGCGTAAAACTAAACTCACTCACTCACTCGTTTTATAGGGTGGTTGGGTCAGTGTGAATCTCGTTGTTGTAGGATGGGTGGTTGGATAAGTGAATTTTGTTGCAGTGGGATAGGGTGGTTGGCTCAGTGTGAATATTGTTGTTGTAGGATGGGTGGTTGGATAAGTGAATTTTGTTGCAGTGGGATAGATTGGTTGGGTCAGTGTGAATTTTGTTGAAGTGGGATAGGGTGGTTGGATAGTGTGAATTTTGTTGCAGTGGGATAGGGTGGTTGGCTCAGTGTGAATATTGTTGTTGTAGGATGGGTGGTTGGATAAGTGAATTTTGTTGCAGTGGGATAGGGTGGTTGGGTCAGTGTGAAGTTTGTTGTTTTAGGATAGGGTGGTTGGATAAGTGTGAATTGTGTTGCAGTGGGATAGGGTGGTTGGCTCAGTGTGAATTTTGTTGCAGTGGGATAGGGTGGTTGGCTCAGTGTAGAATTGTTGCAGTTGCAGGTTGGATAAGTGTGAATTTTGTTGTTTTAGGAGGGTCAGTGTGAATTTTGGTTGGGTCAATTTTGAATTTTTAGTTGTTGTAGGATAGGGTGGTTGGATAAGTGAATTTTGTTGCAGTGGGATAGGGTGGTTGGGTCAGTGTGAATTTTGTTGTTTTAGGATAGGGTGTTTGGATAAGTGAATTTTGTTGCAGTGGGATAGGGTGGTTGGGTCAGTGTGAATTTTGTTGTTGTAGGATGGGTGGTTGGATAAGTGAATTTTGTTGCAGTGGGATAGGGTGGTTGGATAAGTGTGAATTTTGTTGCAGTGGGATAGGGTGGTTGGGTCAGTGTGAATTTGTTGCAGTGGGATAGGGTGGTTGGATAAGTGTGTGCAGTGGGATAGGGTGGTTGGGTCAGTGTGAATTTTGTTGCAGTGGGATAGGGTGGTTGGGTCAGTGTGAATTTTGTTGCAGTGGGATAGGGTGGTTGGGTCAGTGTGAATTTTGTTGCAGTGGGATAGGGTGGTTGGGTCAGTTGAACATGCTTGGCCAATGTGTCGTTTTTCTATACATGAAATGAGAAACGTTTATCACAGGCAATGTAAACTAAGGACTCAATATGGGCGTAATATTAATCACTTTACTCTTCGAGCAAAATGCATATAATATTAATGATCAATGTCAATATACCCTATATCTGTATTTGGAGTATTTAGTGACAAGTGACAAGTTTATTATTGCATTTGAGGCCTCATGGTCCATAGTGCTAAGATACAAATATCATCATACAGTGCGCAAAACATATGTATATAGATTATACAATGCAAGAATACTTACCATGAAATATTACTTTTTGAGGAACAATGATATCTTCTTCATACGAACAGAATATGTTGTTGACATTAATGAGACACTTTTTTTGTAGGATGGATTGTTATAATAATATGGTGGTAAGAGCTCTATATGTCTTATAATAAGGGCACCACAGAAGGAAATTAAATTCATCTTCAACTGATCAGGCATTACACTTCGAGCATAACAGTTGTTTATGATCTTTCAAACAACGTATTAACTAAACACTCAATTTATGCGATGCACAAAAAACATATAGTACACTCTTATGATATCCTTTGACTGGAACAGCTCTTATACATACTTCCCTACAAGTAATACAGTGCCAAGATATATTGATATACAATGCAAGACTAATTAACAGGATACATTTCTTTGAGGAACAGTGATATCCTGTTTATAAGAAAAGAATTTGTTGTTGACAGTAGTGAGACAACTTTATTATGGGATAGATTGTTATAATAATATGGCGGTACAAACAGTTTGGAGTATTTAAATCCCCTGGGTTAAAAGATATATTTTGTAAACTATTAGCTGTATTTTAAATTAAATTCTAAATATAAAAAGACCTTTATTGCAACATAGTTACTTTTGTGTCTAATAATGTTTTAAACCCGTCAAGATCCGGTTTAGAATTGATCTTCAGCAACCAATGCTTTTCGTAAGAGGCGACTAACGGGATCGGGTGGTCAGGTTCGCTGACTTGGTTGACACATGTCATCGTATCCCAATTGCTTAGATTAATGTTCATGCTGTTGATCACTGGATTGTCTGGTCCAGACTCGATTATTTACAGACCGCCTCCATATAGCTGGAATATTGCTGAGAGCGGCATAAAACTAAACTCACTCATTCACTCACCATCTGTTTCAACAGACTGAAGCATGATCATTTATTCAAACATTTTCAAGAAAAGAGAATCGTTAAAATCGTATTGTCTAGACTCGAGTGACATTTATACACAATCACAATTGACGGGCTCGATGTAATGGAGTCAGTTATACAAATTACACTGATCTTGCAAAGCCGTGATATTGCTGGAATATTGCTAAATGCGTCGCAAAACCATACTCACTCACTCACTGATCTTGCAACATTTGTAATTATCTGTGTTGATATACTTACACGTGTCAGTGGAATTCAGATTTCAGATATATCTCAGCCTGTCTCAGCATCTTGTGGAAGGAAAGTCAAAGAGTGAGTGAGTATATTTTTATGCCGCTTTTAGAGATATCCCAGCAATATCACGGCGGGGACACCAGAAATGGGCTTTACACTGCACCCCTGTGGGGAATCGAACCAGGGTCTTCGGCTTGACGAGCGAACGCTTTAACCACTAGGCTAACACCCCCCCACCCCCCGCCCAAAAATCAAAGAGGACGCAGAAAATGAACTTTTTTATTCTCGCCGAAGACCCGGGTTCGATTCCCCACACGGGTACAATGGGTGAAGCCCATTTCTGGTGTCCCCCGCCATGATATTGCTGGATTATTGCTAAATCCGGCTTAAAAGTAAACTCACTTTCTGCTGCATATATAACCTGTGGAAAACTAGACTTGGTTTAGTTTAATCTAGACTTGCATAGGCTTTACGTAACTATCAAAATTTCAAGGTATGAGTTATTTACCTAAAAATCGTTGGGGTTAAACATATATTTCACAGTTATTGCGTAGGACCAGCTTTCCGAGACTTGATACGTACTGTACTTTGAAACATGTCTCATTCTCGTGGCCAGTGTGCCTGAAGCTTGATTCATGCTAGAGAACGTGCATGGGCGTGTATAACAGTAACTTATGCTGCGGTGGGAACAACGGTAAATCTATTGAAGCGGATGGTATTCCGTTCAGAGTGGTGTCTTGTTTCCTCTTGATAGCTAAAATACATGGAATTTTCATGAAACGGCCCTCCCATTATCAGAAATTTGCGGGCCGCTGAAAATGATATTGGACCGCTCAACCTTAACCACGGGCCGCTATCACTTCTGTTGTCAAGTGACGTCATAGTGGGTGCGTGGGATTATGGTTCATTCGACATTAATTGGCTTTCGACTGGCAGATATTCTGGGTCAAACAAGTCAAAGCAACCCGAATTCCCGCTTTAAATAGCGGTAATATTGGCTTTCTTGTCGGTGCTAAGCTTAACAAATGCACTATTAAGGCTGTTGAAGGACCAAAACCGAACACTGACATAGTTTGACATGCTATTGTCTGTGTCAAAGGCCAAGGTTGAATATCGTCACTTTCTGTTGTGACGTCACTTGAATTGTTCGATGACGTAAGTGCATTCGGTTAGTCACCCCGTCAGAAGATGATTTGGGTAAACTTACAGTCAAATTCCTTCATTGTTTCCTTTCTCTTTTCAACACAAATTCCATGTATTTTAGCAATAATAACGGTAATGCTAATTTTGAGGGCATTATCATTTGCAGAAGCCCTCGGTCTTTTTCAACTGCCGTCCTTCGTCGGGCAGTTAATGGAAGACCTCGGACATCTGCAAATGATAATGCCCTCAAAATTAGCATTACCGTTATAATAAAGTCACCAGTGAGATCAACCAAGGACCATCCAAAGAATATCGAATTACGCATATTTTGAGATAAGTTACCACGGTGT